ATGCAATATTTAGTAAGTTTCTATATACAATATTTAGTAAGTTGCAATATTTAGTACTAGTATATGCAATATGTAGTACTAGTATCTACAATATTAAGTATTACTATCTGCAATATTTAGATCTAGTATCTGCAATATTAAGTTTCTATAGCAATATTTAGTAAGTTTCTATATACAATATTTAGTAAGTTGCAATATTTAGTACTAGTATATGCAATATGTAGTACTAGTATCTGCAATATTAAGTATTACTATCTGCAATATTGAGATCTAGTATCTGCAATATTAAGTTTCTATATGCAATATTTAGTAAGTTTCTATATGCAATATTTAGTAAGTTGCAATATTTAGTACTAGTATATGCAATAGTACGCCCAATAATAGTCGCCCAATCAGCCAAATCTATACTGACTCCTTGCTAGTTGCTCTCCTGTATTATATTGTGCATATCTCAATCTTTCAATGACGACAAACAAAATTGACGTTTAAAACATGTTATTTTTACGAGGCCCTACCACAACCTGACATCTTATAACAACTTCATCATAAACAATCACACTGCTAAAATCTAGGTAAACTATAGGTAAAAATATAATATTAATCATAAGCTTAAATGTACTAATCTTTGTATTCTAAATGGGGAAAAGAAGAAACATTGTCAGTCAGTCGAGAAAATTGTCAGTCAGGCAGCAGGCTATATGGCAGCTTTTCGTATCACTTATATGTTTTAAACAAGTCGCCCTCCACAGTTAGCGATGCAACTATCTGACCCAGACCCAGTGATTTTAGGACCAATATTTGGTATCTGTGCGGTAGCCGGAATCATATCCTGCTTCTACTTGATACTTCTGACAGCACAGAGGAGTCTCTCGCTGAGAAATGTTGCGTTTACCTGCTCAGCTTTCGCTAATCTACTGGGTAACTACAATATTTGAGCCTGTAATATCAATTAGATTAAAGCCTGTAATATCAATTAGATTAAAGCCTGTAATATCAATTAGATTAAAGCCTATAATATCAATTAGATTAAAGCCTGTAATATCAATTAGATTAAAGCCTGTAATATCAATTAGATTAAAGCCTATAATATCAATTAGATTAAAGCCTGTAATATCAATTAGATTAAAGCCTATAATATCAATTAGATTAAAGCCTGTAATATCAATTAGATTAAAGCCTGTAATATCAATTAGATTAAAGCCTGTAATATCAATTAGATTAAAGCCTGTAATATCAATTAGATTAAAGCCTGTAATATCAATTAGATTAAAGCCTGTAATATCAATTAGATTAAAGCCTATAATATCAATTAGATTAAAGCCTGTAATATCAATTAGATTAAAGCCTATAATATCAATTAGATTAAAGCCTGTAATATCAATTAGATTAAAGCCTGTAATATCAATTAGATTAAAGCCTGTAATATCAATTAGATTAAAGCCTATAATATCAATTAGATTAAAGCCTGTAATATCAATTAGATTAAAGCCTATAATATCAATTAGATTAAAGCCTGTAATATCAATTAGATTAAAGCCTATAATATCAATTAGATTAAAGCCTATAATATCAATTAGATTAAAGCCTGTAATATCAATTAGATTAAAGCCTATAATATCAATTAGATTAAAGCCTGTAATATCAATTAGATTAAAGCCTGTAATATCAATTAGATTAAAGCCTATAATATCAATTAGATTAAAGCCTATAATATCAATTAGATTAAAGCCTATAATATCAATTAGATTAAAGCCTGTAATATCAATTAGATTAAAGCCTGTAATATCAATTAGATTAAAGCCTATAATATCAATTAGATTAAAGCCTGTAATATCAATTAGATTAAAGCCTATAATATCAATTAGATTAAAGCCTATTATATCAATTAGATTAAAGCTACTATAACTGCAATAGCAAGTTCTTATATGAAATAGATTAAAGCTACTATAACTGCAGAATCGAGTTCCCAGAATTGTGGTATGTTTCTCAATTAATAATTTGACAAATTTTAGGGTTTGCGATAAGTCCTACGCTGATAGCAACATCACTTATGGTCAAGTTTTCAGTGACTACTTCTATAAGCGCTCTTAAAATTGGTGAGTTCCAGCGAAAATAACAGTCCAGCGAATATTTTGCAAAAATATAATGAGCTGAGTTTGGGGGCATAAAATGGAGAAAATTTCTATGGAGAAAATGGAAAAAAACCATTTGGGTAATTCTCCATTTTCTGTACTACTATTTACAAAAAATCTTCGGTCGCTAACCCTTGTCCTTGACTATTAGTCTTTACTGTTAGTAGCGGACAGCACACGGTTGTCGCTGTCCCGTTTAGTTGCTACTAGCAGGAACCCGTATAACCCTAAAATGGGGTCAAGACTCAAGAGACTAAAATAATTATTATCTATTTAATTCGCGTTTTTGACACCACTTGGGGGTTCAAATTTTGGGCTCTAAAACTCCTATTTCTTGGCCAATTTTTAATTTTTTCATGCTAATTTGGAGGCCATTAAAGCATTTGATCCAGTCAAAAACGTTTCAGTTGTATATCTTTTACGGTTTTTGCGGAAAGTCCCGTTAAAGTTGACGCCGTGGTGTCAGTAAAATGGTACGGAACCCTCCATATATATCGTCTCGCTTTATATATAGTAAGATGGTAATTATATTAGAAAAGCTATTTTTGCGCGATAATCTGGATTGAGTACTGTTGGTGCGCGGCGCTAAACTGTTTAAATATTTTGTAATTTATTTCGAGCTAGTATTATTCACTATTATGCACAGATCCGTGTCAGCTTACACATTACATCTCAATAATAATCTCAGAATGTTTGTCTGTGTGTGCGCGTGTAATTTCCGATCGGCTTAATCAAGAAAACGGTAAGAGTTTTAAAAATATCACGCAAAATTGTCTACGCGCCAATAATTATGACATCCCTCTGTACAAGCTACCATATACAAAAAAACCTCGTTCTCTTACCATTGTCCTTGACTCTTTTCTGCCTTCGGTGTTCGGCACTTGAGTCATCGGGAAAAAAATCTATTAACATTTAATCTGCTATGTGATACTACCTTGTGAATGGCGGTTAATTAAGTAATCTAATTTTAATGATCTAATTTTAAAGTAAATGATAATTCGAACTAATATATATTTATACGCCCGCAGGAGATTTAGGGTTCGTTCTGGGAGTGATTGTCTTCTCATTCTCGTTCACAAAAAGACACTTTAAGGAGCGACAAAAGGAACTGCTCCTAATTTACACGTTAATGCCCCTGACTAACATTCTGGAAGCCTCCACCACAATACCAGTAGTATCACGCAATTCCTCTGTGAAAACAACCTTCTGCCTAATGAACATGGTAACAAATACTGGGTTCATGCTCCTAAACTTGGGGGTCTGTTCTGCTGCCATCCGCAGTTTCGCTCTCTTGGGATACCGCAAGGTTTATGATGTCACCGTGATAGAAAGCGTACAGTTTAACAGACAATATGCCGTCATGTGTTACGTCCTGGTTACTCTTTCGTTTCTTCCCAAAGTCACGTACGACGCCTTCAGCTGGGTTACAAACGAGGAAAGGAAGAGTCCGGAGTTTTTCCAACTGAACACTTATCTCATGACTCGTATTTTACTCTATACCAGTGCATTCGTGCAGACTTTCTGTGTGGCTAAACTTTCTTGATCCTGACAGTTACTCCCGAACAATGATTGCAATATCAATATAATATTTGCTTTTTTCTTTGTTTACTCAATTTCTGTTGATATTCCATAGTTATACGAATTCACTCCATTTTTCGTTTTTACAGAAAATATTTAAATATTATATTTCATTTGGAAACGAAGGGAAACACACAATGTTAGGCTTGAATCCTGGAAACGAAGGGAAACACACAATGTTAGGCTTGAATCCTGGAAACGAAGGGAAACACACAATGTTAGGCTTGAATCCTGGAAACGAAGGGAAACACACAATGTTAGGCTTGAATCCTCCGTTACTAAAATACATCTTTAGAGCCTGTAAAACATTTTAGATAAGCACTCTATCAAATTCAATGCGTAGAACGTAGGGTTCTACGCTGTAGGGTGTATCAAAAAGAGACAACCAAACGATATGTGTTAAGGCCAGAAGGAGGGGGCGGGGGGTTAATTGGTTCTACAGGCGGCCTACAAACTGGGGGGGGGGGGGGGGGGGGGCCGGTGGGGCGGGGGGTAATTGGTTCTACAGGCGTCCTACAAACTGGGGGGGGGGGGGGGGCCGGTGGGGCGGGGGGGGGGGTAATTGGTTCTACAGGCGTCCTACAAACTGGGGGGGGGGGGGGGGGCGGTGGGGCGGGGGTAATTGGTTCTACAGGCGTCCTACAAACTGGGGGGGGGGGGGGGGGGCGGTGGGGCGGGGGGGGGGGTAATTGGTTCTACAGGCGTCCTACAAACTGGGGGGGGGGGGGGGGGGGCGGTGGGGCGGGGGGGGGGGGGGTAATTGGTTCTACAGGCGTCCTACAAACTAATTACATCATTCTTGCTATTGGTCTTCTCGGGTATCAGAACGTCTGTAACACCACCAGTTATTACCAATGTCCACTTCAACAATTTTCCCACAGTGATGTGCCACCATACAATATATCAATCGAATAACGAATTACCAACACAACTATTTAATAGGGCTCCACCAGCCACCTCGGGCTATATCGCTACTGGTCGAATTGTGTGGCATGTGCTTGCGGACTGTATTTTCAGCGGGCGGCATGAGCACAGGGCTAAGGTCACCCGGGGTATATAAAAGCACATGCCGCGTTGGTGGATATAAAATCAAGTGCTGAGATTGCTGATCATTGCAGGTATATGTATTTTATTCTATCAAATGTATCATTTAGTCCGAAATCTGAAGATGTCTAATAGGGCTAATAGTAATTAAAGTTTAAAAAGTTTAAAAAGTGAAAGGTAAAAAGTGAGATTACAGAATTGGACGCTTACAATTTTACTTTTTTAAGGTGAACTCTCCCAACTCACATGAACCATAGCGTAGTCGAATACTCTGGAGAAGTTGTTGAGGAACTTTCTTTCACCGGAGATCTTGTAAGAGGTAATTAGAGCTATCATGGCTTCCGTAACAGGCCACCTAAATGACAGATATTATAACTAATATTCCAGTTAGTCCAAATCCTGCTTTTCAGACCCATATCTATATCTATATTTATATTTATATCTATATTCTATATTTATCTAAAATTGGAAATTGGACATGATTTTGACATTAAATGCGTACAGTTAAAATGAATGTCGCAGAAAATTTAGAAATTTCACTGACCACAATTTCATATTCCATGTAAGCTCAGTAGGACTTAGTCCATCAACATCTAGATATGTGAATATACCACCATGATTGGGGTCCCATGCAGCAGTAAACATTTTATCTACGAACAGGGTCAACACTTGCTTCCTAAGTTCCTGTAGTCGGAGCATGGATATTAATAATGAATAATGATAATATGGTACAACAAATAAGTCAAAGAATTATATTTTGCTTACCACTAGTACAGTGTAATTGTTGTAGTTCGTTGTTTGAAAAGAGAATCACAATTGTAAGTCTCATGCAGCGCAGTTTGTTCAATATTGTAGGCCCCCCCCCCCCCACCCCAATATTGTAGCTACCTTCTTATGAGCGATGAGAGAGTATTTCAACAGAAGCCACCCAATCTCCAGGACGGCTCCAGGGTTAACAAGTCTCCCAATTGCTCCTTCGATCTCTCCGGTACTTTGAACAGTTTCTAACACCACTGTATTACTCCTCTGAAACACAAGAGTTAGCAAACAATGTTACTCCTCTGAAACACAAGAGTTAGCAAACAATGTTACTCCTCTGAAACACAAGAGTTAGCAAGCAATGTTACTCCTCTGAAACACAAGAGTTAGCAAACAATGTTACTCCTCTGAAACACAAGAGTTAGCAAACAATGTTATTCCTCTGAAACACAAGAGTTAGCAAACAATGTTACTCCTCTGAAACACAAGAGTTAGCAAACAATGTTACTCCTCCGAAAGACAAGAGTTAGCAAACAGTGTTACTCCTCTGAAACACAAGAGTTAGCAAACAGTGTTACTCCTCTGAAAAACAAGAGTTAGCAAACAATGTTACTCCTCTGAAACACAAGAGTTAGCAAACAATGTTACTCCTCTGAAACACAAGAGTTAGCAAACAATGTTACTCCTCTGAAACACAAGAGTTAGCAAACAATGTTACTCCTCTGAAACACAAGAGTTAGCAAACAATGTTACTCCTCTGAAACACAAGAGTTAGCAAACAATGTTACTCCTCTGAAACACAAGAAACACAATGTTACTCCTCTGAAACACAAGAGTTAGCAAACAATGTTACTCCTCTGAAACACAAGAGTTAGCAAACAATGTTACTCCTCTGAAACACGAGTGTTAGCAAACAATGTTACTCCTCTGAAACACAAGAGTTAGCAAACAATGTTACTCCTCTGAAACACAAGAGTTAGCAAACAATGTTACTCCTCTGAAACACAAGAGTTAGCAAACAATGTTAACACCACTGTGTTACTCCTCTGAAACACAAGAGTTAGCAAACAATGTTAACACCACTGTGTTACTCCTCTGAAACACAAGAGTTAGCAAACAATGTTAACACCACTGTGTTACTCCTCTGAAACACAAGAGTTAGCAAACAATGTTACTCCTCTGAAACACAAGAGTTAGCAAACAATGTTACTCCTCTGAAACACAAGAGTTAGCAAACAATGTTACTCCTCTGAAACACAAGAGTTAGCAAACAATGTTACTCCTCTGAAACACAAGAGTTAGCAAACAATGTTAACACCACTGTGTTACTCCTCTGAAACACAAGAGTTAGCAAACAATGTTAACACCACTGTGTTACTCCTCTGAAACACAAGAGTTAGCAAACAATGTTAACACCACTGTATTACTCCTCTGAAACACAAGAGTTAGCAAACAATGTTGCAGGAAATATTAAAAATGGCGTCCTGCCCATTATTGGTAATACTGACGAGGAAGGAGATCTACCTGAATGTGCTGCAGGATACGTTTGGTGAGATACGCAAAGTCCTCTTTGTGTTGTCGGAGTTTTGTGGGATTATGTTCCGAGATGGCCAACAACATTCGCAGTACATGACCAAGATCACTCAGCGTAGAATAGCTTGTATCTGGGTAGATGATGATGAGACACTTTGGTTTCACCAAATAAATTAGATAGCGAATTTAACATAAACAATAAATTCGACCGTTTTCCCTAGATGGAGCGTGGTGCAACCAGGCATGCTCAGTTTACTTCATACTATTATACTTAAAAGTATATAATATATGAATATAAGTAATACTAATGATCCGTTTATTGAATATTATTCATGAATAATATACGATCAAATTTCATCTGTGCAGGATAATGGAAGTAAAAGAAATGGTCATTCCCCAAACCGTTTTGAATAAAAGCTATTTAAAATGTAAAGCTATATTTTAACAATTACTGCGACGTCAAATTGAAAATTTACAATAAACATGTATCGCACCAAATCCGTTTAATCTATGTTCAGAAAATATGGTCAAAACAATAAGTTTATGCACGTTTGGTTTTTTTGTGGATATTCGCACATTCGTAAAAATTCGCTTTTTATTTTGTAAGCTTTTTTTTGTTCATTAGCATGGTCAAGTCTGTCGGTGTAATACCGATTTTAAGTCATTTGTTTAGGTATTGAGTTCATTTTGATTGAATCTACATATTAACACCTACGAGAACCTTTCCAAAGGATTACTTGATTGAGCAATAGACAACCATGTTACACGCCCATTTATGTCGAGTGAAGCAGAATTCGATCTTTTGACACCGACAAACTTCTACTTATGCTACCAATCACACAGTTCTTGAGAAATCGCTCCACAAATCCTTGTGAATGTAGCAATTTCAAGTTTATCAGTTTGCAGTTGTCATGTAGAATGATGGTTATGCACAAGTTTTTGAAACTGGATTTTGAGTATGTATATACTACATAACCTCAAAAGTGTCAGTTATTTTGAAATAATTTTCGGCAGTATCGAGATAGCCCGACCACGGTCCGCGGACCACGGTCCGCGGACCACTGTCTGCGGACCACTGTCTACCAGATCATATTACTGTATAATAACAGTATCCCCTGAATCAAGCAACAGGTGTTTGTGAATAGTTGATTGGTTACCAGATCATATGAATGGTATGTATGGTATCTTGGATGCAATTAGTTACGACTAGCATAATTAATTGTAGCGTAGTAAATTACTGGATCAAACTATTGATTACGGTCATGAGCAGCGCATGATATACCAGCATGCCTCTTGTTGCAGAAAACGCAGAAGCTTGGGTTGGCTCTGGAGACGATGAGGGTTTTACCAGCTTGAGTCCACTTGTCGAGAGGTGAGATAGGTTTGCAGATAGGGTCGCAGGGTAGGGCTGAGTTCATCCGTTTCGTTTTCTCTGAGACCATAGTTGTAGTTGTTCAAGAAGGAGTTCATGATAGAAATGATTGATATTATATTGCATGATGTGAACTGATCTCGTAAGGTTGCTTAATCGTTTAATAAGCCTTGACACCACCGCTGATTGGAATTCGCGTGCGATGATGTGAACCCTGCCCATATCCAAAAAAATTGTAATTTCCTACATTCTCAATTTTTTCGTTTTCTGTGGCCCGCTCGCATAAAAAGTCTTTGTATTCGCGCGGTTCAAAGATTTTTCATGGCGGAATCCAGATTCTCAATTTTACTTTTTTAGGGCCCGGAACAGGGACGTAGCCAGGATTTTTCTTTGAGGGGGGCTGTTGGCGAGCGAAGAGAGCCGACGTGTCCAATCCAGTTGCGCAGCGAGCGAAGCGAGCAAGCTGTGGCAGGGGTCTGGGGGCGCAGCCCCCAGCGGGGTCCAGGGGCGGAGCCTCTTGGCGGGGGCTAGGGGGGGCCCAGCCCCTCGGAAATTTTTTGCGAAACAGGGTGTTTTAGACGACATTTGGCATTAAAGAAATTTGTAGGACAGCAATAAACTGGGATTGAAAAGAATCAAGTACTCACGTAAATTTGGTAACTGCACAACAGCAATCTGCATTCTCCAATCAGAATTTACGACTTACTCATGCCTCATCGTCTTAAGATTTTTACATTTCCTACGGTCTAGGGGACACTATTGACTATTTATAGAAGTCTTCTAGAATGTTTGCTTGGATTTAATGACAGATATTTACTAATCCACAGTTCAAATCTTTGACTGACTGCAGTCATAAACACAGCCCAGTTACCAGGCGACCATGGGGACTAGGGGGCTTATCTTTTTTCTGGGGTTCGATTTTTTCCGGGGGGGGGCTGCCGCCCCCCTAGCCCCCCCCCCCTGTCTACGTGCCTGGCCCGGAATGCTTTTTAATAGATAATCCTAGGTTACTTTTGGGGGCGAAGCCCCCGAAAATTTTGGAAATTTAAACTAGATTTGGCCTCCTGGAACGAATCTGACAATGGAGAACGATTTTAGCATACTATTTTCTGATTTCAATTTTTATTGGGATAAATTGTCTGGATTCTAGAATCCCTAAACACTTGGCTTAACTAAAGCACGAAATAGGAGACAGCATGAAGTATCAAGAGTTTATAATTTTGGCAAAAATGTTTTCTCATCTACTACCATCACTTTCTGCTTTCAAGCCCGTTTCATAGACTAGATAAGTAGATAGTAAAATGTTAATAAAGTAATAATGACTATTTATGTCGTGTACGCGAAAATGCCTCAATAATTAGCATCTGGTTAGTGGTTACTTGATGCACAGATTTTGTAGCTAATAGCAACAAACTTTGGTCTGTGAAACGAAATTTGATAGACTGGATCAGTGGATCCCTGACTGAGGACATTTAAATAACGGTCCAGCAACTTTTAGTCTGCTCTTTCACTTAAATTCCTACTGAAATATTATCGAAAATTCTCAGAGTTGGCTCTCGAATTTCCTACTTTTTGTCAAAAATTTCCTACTTTTAAAAATTTCCTACATTCTTAGAATGCGAGAATGCGGGTTTTTGGATATGGGGAACCCTGCTTGATTCAGGGGATGATGTGAACCCTGCTTGATTCAGGGGATACTCAATACTGTTATTATACAGTAATATGATCTGGTAGACAGTGGTGTTGATGATAGAAATGATTGATATTATATTGCATGATGTGAACTGATCTCGTAAGGTTGCTTAATCGTTTAATAAGCCTTGACACCACCGCTGATTGGAATTCGCGTGCGATGATGTGAACCCTGCTTGATGATGGAATTCGCGTGCGATGATGTGAACCCTGCTTGATTCAGGGGATGATGTGAACCCTGCTTGATTCAGGGGATACTCAATACTGTTATTATACAGTAATATGATCTGGTAGACAGTGGTCCGCGGACAGTGGTCCGCAGACAGTGGTCCGCGGACAGTGGTCCGCGGACCAGTGGTCGGGCTATCTCGATACTGCCTAATTTTCAAAGGTTCGTAATCAGATTGACGAAAAAATCTCACTTTTTTAGTTTCCACATAATATGTGATATAGCTGCTGGAGACGAACAAGGAGAAAAAACGGGATCATCGAAATGGCGTGCGCCAAATATTGAGGTTTACCAGTAATTACAAGTAAAACTGGACCTTTAAGATTGACGAATAAACTCATACTCTCTATTATCTATATATCTCATTCAGTACCTAGGCTAATCTTGGAAAAGGTGCAATCTTGCTTGTTTTTACATACCCATTCCGTATGAGTTGATATTCCCGCTGTCTTTAATCCACGCAAGAACTGTCTTCAATACCGTCTCTCCACGTGACTAATACCAGAAAAATTGAATTTACTATATTTTAGAATATGATAACCGTTGTAAAATGGGGAATAACTTGTATGTTGAATTGGTTATCCAAATTGTACAATTTCAACATTTTTTATATAATCGCTATAGATACAATAGTACAACAGGGGGATTATGTTTTTGTCCATATTTGTCTATACGGTTTTGTCCAACCTCAGAAAATAGGGTACTGCATGGACAAAAACTGGTTAATTTAGGTGATTATGGTGAGAGAGTTGACGGGTGGTTGTTTTTAGAAGTAGTGGGTGTTTACAGGGCTGAAGTAGTGGGTGTTTACAGGGCTGAAGTAGTGGGTGTTTAGTGGGTGTTTAGTGGGTGTTTACAGGGCTGAAGTAGTGGGTGTTTACAGGGCTGAAGTAGTGGGTGTTTAGTGGGTGTTTAGTGGGTGTTTACAGGGCTGAAGTAGTGGGTGTTTACAGGGCTGAAGTAGTGGGTGTTTACAGGGCTGAAGTAGTGGGTGTTTACAGGGCTGAAGTAGTGGGTGTTTACAGGGCTGAAGTAGTGGGTGTTTACAGGGCTGAAGTAGTGGGTGTTTACAGGGCTGAAGTAGTGGGTGTTTACAGGGCTGAAGTAGTGGGTGTTTACAGGGCTGAAGTAGTGGGTGTTTACAGGGCTGAAGTAGTGGGTGTTTACAGGGCTGAAGTAGTGGGTGTTCACAGGGCTGAAGTAGTGGGTGTTTACAGGGCTGAAGTAGTGGGTGTTTACAGGGCTGAAGTAGTGGGTGTTTACAGGGCTGAAGTAGTGGGTGTTTACAGGGCTGAAGTAGTGGGTGTTTACAGGGCTGAAGTAGTGGGTGTTTACAGGGCTGAAGTAGTGGGTGTTTACAGGGCTGAAGTAGTGGGTGTTTACAGGGCTGAAGTAGTGGGTGTTTACAGGGCTGAAGTAGTGGGTGTTTACAGGGCTGAAGTAGTGGGTGTTCACAGGGCTGAAGTAGTGGGTGTTTACAGGGCTGAAGTAGTGGGTGTTTACAGGGCTGAAGTAGTGGGTGTTTACAGGGCTGAAGTAGTGGGTGTTTACAGGGCTGAAGTAGTGGGTGTTTACAGGGCTGAAGTAGTGGGTGTTTACAGGGCTGAAGTAGTGGGTGTTTACAGGGCTGAAGTAGTGGGTGTTTACAGGGCTGAAGTGGGTGTTTACAGGGCTGAAGTGGGTGTTTACAGGGCTGAAGTAGTGGGTGTTTACAGGGCTGAAGTAGTGGGTGTTTACAGGGCTGAAGTAGTGGGTGTTTACAGGGCTGAAGTAGTGGGTGTTTACAGGGCTGAAGTAGTGGGTGTTTACAGGGCTGAAGTGGGTGTTTACAGGGCTGAAGTAGTGGGTGTTTACAGGGCTGAAGAATCAATATTGCAAAGATTCTTAATAACAATCCGCCATTTATAGATTGTACCTGGCTAAAACATTTTAAAATGCTATTTTTTAGGTATATATTTTCACCCAAATCCAAATCCCACCACCCAATTTTGAGCCGAAGGGGAAGCACAAATGATAAGTTTCGCCAGCATAGCATTAAAATTCCGGGTTGTAACTCAAGAAATATGATTTGTATTTAAAAAATACTTACAATATAGTTGGATTGTTTTGTAGCATAGTGCAGTTCAAAGAAAGCCATCACGAAATAAACTTCAGAGATAATGTTTGGACGAACACTCAAGGGCTTTCCTGTAAACAGAAAGCTGAGTCAACAGACAGTAAACACATTTATAAATATCACAAAAATAAAGAGATCAGAGTTTATAGATGTGGATACTGAACATGTGCTCACTATTAATGTAAACAAACAATTATCACCTCCCCGCCAGTATCCACATCTATAATAAAAAGAGCGGATAAAAAAGTAAATACCTTCTCTAGTGACAGAGTGAAAGCATCGACCATCACTTGACCTATAAGCGTGTCGTAGAAGGAATTCACCTCCCATTTTGGCGGTGTTTAACATATCTTCAGTATGGTAGACATCAGTGCAATTGTACAGCTTGGCGTAAATGTACGTCTGGATAAAAATTATTACTGCTTTATAACTTTCAGTATACTAACAGGAAACGATGTAACAGAGTCGATATATTTTAATGTTGCCATGGGGCAGTGGCGTAACTTAGGGCCCCGCAGACCCCACTGTGCGGGGGGGGGGGGGGGGGCGCCGTATAAGGGGGGGCGCAATTTCCTGAATTTTAGGACCTTTCACTGAAAAAACGCCTTGTTTGTGTATTTCCCTGTTCAATTTAGCGTTCGGTCGACACGAGAAAAAATATTTGGGGTACCCTTTTTTGTTTCAGGGGGCGCAAAAAGCTGTAGGGGGGCGAGAAAAAAAGTACCCGACCTTTTTTTTTTTTTTAGGGACACAAAAAATTTTAGGGGGGCGCTTTTCGTCACTGAGCGGGGGGCGCCAACAGGCAAAGTTACGCCACTGCCATGGGGTGGCAAGTCCCCATACATCGCAGTCCGGTAGTTTCATTGCGTCTTAATATATGGTTAGGTTTAAGAATAGGGTTCAATACCACCATGTAAGCTAATGAAATTAAATCGCAAATTTTCATTTTATTTGCTTTGTTTGACCCATCAATGACTGCCAGGGAATGAGGGCCGTTCAAGAAGAAGTGATTTCCGCGGCAATCTATCATTCCTTCGAAAAAGAATCTAGAGCGAGGAGGAATGACCGACGCGCGTCAACTGCGCGCGTTTCCCACGGTTTTTGCGCATACAAGATACAACTGGAAGCATTCGCGTTCAACAACATTGAAATCCACAGTAGATGAATCCATAAATTTGGAACATGGGCACATCGCAGTATTGGCCGTATTTGAGTGCTCGGAAGGCTCAGTTCGGTTTTCTAAGATGGATATAGCCGTAAGCTAGGCCTAGGAGCCATCAAAAGTCGTATAAAATTACCCATGGAATGACCAGAAATGAACGAAAATGAACATTATTCTCAAAGTGCTCAGAATGGTTTAAAATGGGTCGGAAAGTGTTTACATTGGTCCTAGGACCACTCAAACCAAGTTTGGGAATCACTGCATGTCTAGAACCGATGTGAAGGTGGTTCCAATTTTGATTTTTGTAACCATTTTGGGAACATGGGGACATCGAAGTATTGGCTGTATTTAAGTGCTGGGAAGCCTCAATTCGGTTTTCTAAGATGGATATAGGTGCTCAGAACGGTTTAAAATTGGTCGGAAAATGTTTATATTAGTCCTAGGACCACTCAAACCAAGTTTGGGAATCACTGCATGTCTAGAACCGATGTTACCAATGTTCCAAAATGTTCCAATTTTTGCACAATAATCCTCCTGAGAATCCAGATTTTTGGAACATGAGCACATCGAAGTATTGGTTGTATTTAAGTGCTGGGAAGCCTCAATTCGGTTTTCTAAGATGGATATAGGTAAAAACTAGGTCTAAGAGCCATCAAAAGTCAAATAACATTACCCAGGTTCATGGAATGAACGAAAATGAACAAAAATGAAAATTTTCCTTAAAGCGCTCAGAATGGTAAGAAAATGGTGGCAAAGAGTCAATATTTTCGTCCAACAGAGTCTTAAAGTTGCATTCAGAATTATGTACAATTAGCACACGTACCTCCAAGAGAAGGCAGAAATTATTTTATTGGGCAACTATTTTGGTTTTAATAATCCCCCAATATATTGATATAAATTTTTGACATCATTAGCTGTATTTGTTCGTTGAGGGATGAAGGTAGCAGGTGAAAGGGTTGGTTGAGCGGCGCGAGGTAGGTTGCTGGTGAAGGGGTTGGTTGCGTTAGGTAGGCTGGTGGTGAATGAGTTGGTTGAGGGATGAAGGTTGCTGGTGAAGGGGTTGGTTGAGTGAGGTGGACTGCTGGTGCTTCTTTGAACTGGTAGATAAAGAGGTAGGCTCATCAATTTAGTGATTTAGTTGTGGTTAACAGAGAGGGAAAATGATTTGTATAACTTAATTATCTATTTATTCTCTTCTTATTCATTAACAAGCTTGCTAAGTTAATCCTATTGCTGATGACCTGATCTGATCTTACGCCTCTACATCCGATCACACCAAATAAGATCGGATAACCTTGCTACGCTCGGATCACCTTATTCAGATCACATCTTTATTTGCTTCCACACATCTATTACACGAAGTGATGTGATACAAATGAAACTGATGTGATCTAAATATAGGGTGTACATTGTGTGACTGTCTGACTGTTTATGGAATCACTGCATGCCCAGAACCGATACGAGGGGTGCAGAATACCGAACCATCTTAACAGTACAGTAAATGAATAGTCTGTTGATTGGCCTTATGACTCTTTCGTAAACTCTTTGGAATTGCTCAGAGCGGTTTAAAATTGGTCGGAAAGTGTTTGTATTGGTCCTAAGACCACTCGAATTGGAACATTTTGGAACATTGGTAACATCGGTTCTAGACATGCAGTGATTCCCAAACTTGGTTTGAGTGGTCCTAGGACTAATATAAACACTTTCCGACCAATTTTAAACCGTTCTGAGCATTTTTAGGACAATATTCATTTTTGTTCATTTTCGTTCATTCCATGAACCTGGGTAATGCTATTTGACTTTTGATGGCTCTTAGGCCTAGTTTTTACCTATATCCATCTTAGAAAACCGAATTGAGGCTTCCCAGCACTTAAATACAGCCAATACTTCGATGTGCCCATGTTCCAAAAATCTGGATTCTCAGGAGGATTATTGTGACAAAATTGGAACATTTTGGAACATTGGTAACATCGGTTCTAGACATGCAGTGATTCCCAAACTTGGTTTGAGTGGTCCTAGGACTAATATAAACACTTTCCGACCAATTTTAAACCGTTCTGAGCATTTTTAGGACAATATTCATTTTTGTTCATTTTCGTTCATTCCATGAACCTGGGTAATGTTATGCTACTTTCGATGGCCCCTAGACCTAGCTTGCAAATATATCCATCATTTACAATTATTTTTGGCACTATTTAGAGCTCATTAGGGCAAATAAATGCATGGCACACTTTTGGCACATGTTCCAAAAATGTTCCAAAAATCTGGATTCATCAACTCGAAATCCAGAAGACGTTTCCCTGAATTTTGTAGGGGATTTTGCGCGTCGCACGTACGTTACAATATTTATAATTGTAGAGGATAAGATTTTAGAGGTCTCCCGTCTCACTAAACTGCTCGTATTTAGAGACAATAAGATATAAATATAACCGATAACTTAATAACACATCCAACCCCACTCAGGCCGCCCATCCCAAAATAGCTGAAGTCCCCTAAAATACAGACTGAGAATCTTTACCCCTGTAGGGGATTTATGTTCCAGGGTATTTGGAACATGTTTAGGTGGTTAAATAGTAAGTACCTCTCCAAAACCATCAGAAAATCAAGTTTTGACCTCTTGACCCACTCAGGCCACTCCCAGGAACAATGCACAACTATTTGTAGGGGATTTGAAAACCGTGTCAAATCCCCTACAAATCCAGACTGAGAATCTTTACCCCTGTAGGGGCTTTATGTTCCGGGGTATTTGGAACATGTTTTTGTGTAAAAATGGGTATTACCTGTCCCAAACCATCAGAAAAATCAAGTTTCGACCTCCCAACCCACTCAGGCCACTCCCAGGGGCCACGCCCATCCCAAAATAGCTGAAATCCAGGTAAAATCAAGATTGAAAATCTTTACCCCTGTAGGGGATTTATGTTCCAGGGTATTTGGAACATGTTTTTGTGTAAAAATGGGAAGTACCTGTCCCAAACCATCATAAAAATCAAGTTTCGACCTCCCAACCCACTCAGGCCACTCCCAGGGGCCACGCCCATCCCAAAATAGCTGAAATCCAGGTAAAATCAAGATTGAAAATCTTTACCCCTGTAGGGGATTTATGTTCCAGGGTATTTGGAACATGTTTTTATGTAAAAATGGGTAGTACCTGACTCAAACCATCAGAAAAACCGAGTTTCAACATCTTGACCCACTCAGGCCGCTCCCAGGGGCCACGCCTAAGTCCTAACCCAGAAAGGTTACAGGGGGTGGGGTGGGGCAAAAGTAACGTTACATACGTTGTGTCTTATAGTTTATACCACCACCGTGTTTCATATTATGGACCTGTAACTTTGCAGATGGCATGCTGTAACTATTACGCCCATATGCATATAATATTAAATCACCTATATTGTTCTTTCCGGACATGCTAGACGCCCATTTATTTCAGATTACTGTAGATAATTAATTGGTGCATCTGATCTGAAAAATTGAGGCCAAACGGATTTGAAATGACGAAGTTATCAAGCATTTTGTGTATCTCGTTACAAAATTGATTGGGTGATTATGTGATAGGACACCTTAATTGGGTTCCCTTGCAATTTAACGGGTCGCCTAATCACCTGAACAGGTAATCCAATCACCTGAACACACGTAATGAATAAACTCGTTATGCCTCGTATCTCAGTCAACTGAGAAGCTACAACTCTCATTTTTTCAGATCGAACGTAATTTGAATGGCCAAATACAATTCTATAAAGTTTGGCTTGATCTAATCAAAACTATCAAATAAATGCGATAATGAACCTTCATTCGAAAAAAATGAGCATGAATATTATTTGATTTAACATATTCCTTGAATGAGTGGTGATAGTAAGTCATACCAAAAAGAATACCCCGGAACACAAATCGCATACGACGGTAAAGATTCTCATTCTGGGTTTTATGGGATTTCCAGATATTTTTGGATGGGCGTGGCCCCAGGGATTGGCCTGAGTGGGCTGAGAGGTCGAACGTTTATTTTTTTTAATGGTTTGGGGCAGATACCAACTATTAAACCACCTAAACAAATTCCAAATACCCCGGAACATAAATCCCCTACAGGGGTAAAGATTCTCAGTCTGGATTTGTAGGGGATTTGACACGGATTCCAAATCCCCTACAAATAGTTGCGCATTGTTCCTGGGAGTGGCCTGAGTGGGTCAAAAGGTCGAAAGTTGGTTTGTCTGATTGTTTGGGCCAGGTACTACCTATTAAACCACCTAAACATGTTCCAAATATCCCGGAACATAAATCCCCTACAGGGGTAAAGATTTTCGATCTTGATTTTACCTGGATTTCAGCTATTTTGGGATGGGCGTGGCCCCTGGGAGTGGCCTGAGTGGGTTGGGAGGTCTAAACTTGATTTTTCTGATGGTTTAGGTCAGGTACTAACTATTTAACCACCTAAACATGTTCCAAATACCCCGGAACATAAATCCCCTACAGGGGTAAAGATTTTCAATCTTGATTTTACCTGGATTTCAGCTACCTATTTTCGGATGGGCGTGGCCCCTGGGGGTGGCCTGAGTGGGTTGGGAGGTCAAAACTTGATTTTTTTGATGGTTTGGGTCAGGTACTAACTATTAAACCACCTAAACATGTTTCAAATACCCCGGAACATAAATCCCCTACAGGGGTAAAGATTTTCAACCTTGATTTTACCTAGATTTCAGCTATTTTGGGATGGGCGTGGCCCCTGGGAGTGGCCTGAGTGGGTTGGGAGGTCTAAACTTGATTTTTCTGATGGTTTCGGTCAGGTACTAACTATTTAACCACCTAAACATCTTCCAAATACCCCGGAACATAAATCCCCTACAAGGGTCAAATCCCCTACAAATCCCCTACAAAAATCAAGGAAACGTGCTCTCGTTTCCTTGATTTGTAGGGGATTTTGCGCGCCGCACGTATGTCACAATATTGATCATTGTAGATAATCTTTCAGAGGTCTCACTAAACTGCTCGTATTTATACTTTTATAGACACTAAGATATGAAAAACTTAGTAAAACACCCAACCCCACTCCAACGCCGCCCATCCCAAATAGCTTGAAATCCAGGTAAAATCAAGACTGAGAATCTTTTCCCCAGTAGTGCATTTATGTTCCGGGGTAGGTGGAACATGTTTTGGTGGTCAAATAGTTAGTACCTGTCCCAAACCATCAGAAAAACTGAGTTTCAACCTCTTGATCCACTCAGGCCACTCCCAGGGGTCACGCCTAACCCAGAAAAGCTACAGGGGGAGGGGCCAAAAGTAACGTTACATACGTTGGGTCTTATACCACCACCGTGTTTCATATTATGGACCTGTAACTTTGCAGATGGAATACTGTAACTACTAATTCGAGTATTCCATTTATTCCTTGAACCTGGGGCATTTGATGTGACTTTCGGCCCCTAGGCCTAGCTTATGGCAATATCCTTCCTAGAAAACCGAATTGGGGGCTCCCAGCCCTTTATAACTACTATCCAAGAGTGGTCCAACCTCATTCTCGTCGATTTCGTTCATTTAATTTTGTTCATATCATAAACAAACTTTTTGAAAAACGACCATTAACTACTACTAACTAGTAAACTAACCATATATTCACTGTATTCATAACTAAGTTTAAGTACCTGTTATAGAAGTTTGAGATCCAAAAATCACAGAAAATCATTAAAAAAATGTGTTTCAATTGGTACTGCTTAGTGACCTCCGATTTAAAAAGTCTAGTTGACACTATCTGTCTTATCTGTTGAGAGAGTCCATACTAAAGTAAATGAATTCTGTAGAAAAATGATTTCGAGAGTGAATTTTTTGAAGTGATGGTGGAGCAAGATCGATTCTAGTCCACATATGAAAAGTGGTGGGTTTTGGTATATAATAGATGTGCACTTAAGCTGACTGGACCATATTTAAAACGAACCTGTTGAGCTTCAAGAGCACAGTATTTCGTGGTATCATAAATTGTCCCATCGAAGTCAACACAAGTCAGGTAGCCCAAATGTTCTGTATCTAAGGAGTTATTGTCCCAGAATCTCAGCACCTGATGAATATTGAAGATTCAAGATGATTTAAAATAAAAAATCGAACACAAAAATTTTACGAATGAGTTTGATTATAATTGTAGATTAAATATAAATATATCATTAACAATTCTATCAACTCACGATAAAACAATAACTAGGAATGCCGACACATATATATATATAAAAAGGGTTAAAATTCTACGATTTACATCCTTGAGTTCATGTTCAAGTCGGCCAGCAAGCTCAGCTAAAACTTTTAGCAATTCCTCTCTTTCCTTTGTTGCCGCGTCAGTTTCAGGTGGATCTAGCACTGAAAATATTGCAATATATGTTAGCTTTGAAATTGCCGGAACCTGTATAACCCTAAAATGGTGTCAAGACTCAAGAGACTAAAATAATTATTACCTATTTAATTCGCGTTTTTGACACCACTTGGGAGGCCAAATTTTGGGCACTAAAATTCTTATTCTTTGGCCAATTTTTTATTTTTTCATGCTAATTTGAAGGCCATTAAAGCATTTGACCCAGTCAAAAAAGTTTCAGTTGTATATCTTTTATGGTTTTTGCGGAAAGTCGCGTTAAATTTGATGCCGTGGTGTCAGTAAAATAGTACGGATCCAAATATATATCATCTCGCTTTATATTATATAGTAAGATTGAGGTTTGCAAATGAAGACGTTTTCTATAAACAATGTCGAGACTTACACTTGGTAACGATAACTTACACTTGGTAACGATAACTTCGGGTCCGTCTTTTTTACCACCGCCATTACTAGGCATTCTGAGCAATTAATGTTATAATATACTAGGCATTCTGAGCAATTAATGTTATAATATACTAGGCATTCTGAGCAATTAATGTTATAATACCTACTAGGCATTCTGAGCAATTAATGTTATAATATACTAGGCATTCTGAGCAATTAATGTTATAATATAAAATCTAAAGTTTGAAAGAACCATGCATAACACGAATTATAAAATTTAATGAAGGATTTTCATTATATATTATATATTATACTATTTTAGAATAATGTTAACGATAGATTGAGGCATTTTTAATTAAAAGGTGCAAGTTGTAGTTTTACTGTAGTATTATTTTCGCACGTATAGATTTATTAAATGAATATAATTCGGAAAAATAAAAAAATGTCGAAAATGAATAAAAATGTACACTCGGTAATACAGGCTTCTCCGTAACTTGATATTAGGAGATGCAGTTACAAACTTTATTTTTTTTAGTTTATTGTAAACATGGTACTTTAAAAGCCGGGGGGGGGGGGGGGGGGGGAGTGGATCATAAGGTCAGAATCGTACGTGACGTTGAGGGGTGGGTCATTATTATTTTCCAAAACACACTTAGTACATGGTACATTTCCCAGAAAAACAGTTAGTACATGGTACTCAGGGGGTGTCCAAAAAACCCCATTTTACCTCAAATTTCAATTTTGGGAATGGATTTTTTGGGTTTTGAGGTTTTTGATTTTTTTGGGGTTTTAAAAAAACTTTAATTCGACTACGTACATTGAAAACAAAACCCCTACTAAATAGTGGGTATAATTTGCCCATTTCCCAATGTTTAATGAGCTGTTTAAAGCAATTTATGGGTGGGTATCTTATTTTATATACCGAGACACAGTTAGTACCGTGATTTCTCAACAGTTTGGTGGGTTTGGTCGTTGATTACGTAATCCAAATTTTCTTTTTTGCTCTCTAGAATAATAACAATTTGACAATATTTTAATTCAAATTCCACTCAATCTCACTCTGATAGTGATAAAATTCAGAAATTGATAAAATATCCGGCTATAGTAGTAAGTAGTTTAGAAGGTGCTTGGCCGGATATCATAACAATGATTTCGGCTCATCATGATAGCATGATTAGGGTAGCATGAAACGTATAGTAGAGAAAAGTGTTTTCTAGGGAAAAAAGTCAAGGGGGGGGGGGGAGGAGGGGGTCAGGCTATGATTACGTAATATAGCTGTCAGGAGGGGGGAGGGGTCTTGATTACGGTTGATTACGGAGGGGGGGGGGGGTAAAAATTGCTAAAAAGCTAAAATATTATTGATTACGTAATTTGACCAAAACCCATAATCATGGGTAGAGTGGACCGCTGCCAGTGTCTCTCTTTCCCAAACAAAAGGATATGATATCAATTTGATTGACCGTTCTCAAATGCAAAATGATACCGAGAATGAAATCGGTCGCTCGCTTTTCCCATTCATTCACGGCTTACGAATTGTAATAGGTTTCGATTAATTACATCAATCACATCATGCTGTAAAAATCTATTTGGGTTTTGTTCGGGTCGATACCTAGTATTTCGGGATAAGGGTGGTAGTTAGTGGATTAGCTGAAGTTTATTGAATCTTTATTGCCGAGTACCTAGCTGCCTTCGGGTAGTTCTTCTTAATCAATTACAATTGTAAATGAATAGGAAAAGCGAGCGACCGATTTCATTCTCGGTATCATTTTGCATTTGAGAACGGTCAATCAAATTGATATCATATCCTTTTGTTTGGGAAAGAGAGACACTGGCAGCGGTCCACTCTACCCATGATTATGGGTTTTGGTCAAATATCATCTCTTTTTGATTATAATGTCAGGGTACTTTTCAAAGTCAAAATTCATAACTTTATTAATACGGTAAAGGAGGTAATTTCAACGCGATTTTTGAAATTTTACCTTTGAAAACATTTCCTTGTGTTTAGGTAAGCACTAAGCATATCTGTCGATCACTGACTGAAAATGCCACATTATACTCATTCAAGTCGGCGTTAAATTTATATATAATGCCATTTAACTGTCATGGAAAAGCAGAATCTAATCGAAATCACGATTGAGCAAAATTCTCACCTTTCGCACGTGCAAACTTTGAGCGGACGTTGCGTGCGCATCCAATATTGAATCACCGTAAATTTTTGCATATTCGTTATTTATGTATAGTTTGATAAGCATGCAAAGTTCCAAAGTATTTCAAGAAGAACTGTACTCACAACGGCACTCCAAAGTTGACAGAAAATGGTAAAAACAGCAACTTTTAGTGATTTTAGCAATTTTTAATCAATTTGGGCGTCTCCCCACGTGTGCAACTTTTCGATTTTCAACTTAAAAACTAGCCTAATGCACAATTTATACCTATAGGAAGCAGAACTGAGCTCCACAACCCAAGGGATAGCCCAACACCAGAGAATACTAAATCGCAAAATTGACGTTTTTATAAAATAATTCTTCAAAAAAGCACTAACTTCAATGGCAAATATCTTTATGAAGGAGCGAGCTAGGGAAACTTTCCGGTAGATTTTCGGATTGCTTAAACAATTATCTAACCTGAAAATGTCCTCAGATTTTGAATTAAATTACTCCTTAATGGTGTAAAATCAGTTTGAAAAGTTGTTATTTTGTCAAAAATCAAGTTTTAAAAACACTTAATTTGATGACGTCATCAAGTGGTGATGATGACGTTAATTTATTTTTTGATATAATTGAAACTGAAGTATAAACGATTATCTGTAAGACCTATGGTCGGAAATTGCTGTATCTTTTATAGGTACAAATCTACAGACACCTGAATGTAGCCTATTGACTGGCAAAGCGTCTATCCCTGAATATATATGTATATCTGTATATCTGTATATCTGTATATCTGTATATATACAGATATACAGATATATATATATCACGACAATCTGTCGTAAAACAGGGGTTCCAGAAACCCCACTTTCCGATACTCCTGAAACACAAATTTTTTTACAGTCGATTTGGTCAACTTCCAGACGCCCTGCAAAGTTTCAGATCTCTAACTCAATTTTAACATGGTTTTTAAGGCAACTGAATATGGCGATTTTGGGTTTTTTACCGAATTTTGTATAACATGCTGGCGCGTATTTTGCGCAAATTTCTTAAAAACCTCCACATAACTATTTCTTGTTCCTGTCATCTTTAACATTGAATTAGAATGATTTGAACTTAAATATACCTGCTGAACAACTTTCGATGAGTCTTAATGCCTGAAAAACAATAAAGGGGATATAAAAGTAAAGGGGGTAAATAGTAAAGGGGGTAAATAATAAAGGGGGTAAATAGTAAAGGGGGTAAATAGTATTGTGAATATAAGAGGCACGGTCATGCTTGCCAGCATTGTGATATTATGTGAACGACCCCTAATTTCAGATTTGCTCTTTAGCTGAATGACGCGACCGAAAATTTCAAATTATCACGGTCAATTCGGGTTTAAACTGACTGGTTGATAAATGTAAGAACACTGTTCAGAGTTCATTGCTACAGCTGTATCTTGTGTGAACATATGTTTGTAATTTATAAATTAAATACTAATGTGACCAATCTTAAATATACTTTATATCAAAAGATACTTTCTGCCATGCATTTTTGTGCAGTGCAAGCGATCATTACAATCTTTACAATACAGAAAATAAAAACATCTGAATCGAAAGCAAACACCACGGATATTCTGCAGACAAAACACTCTCACAACATACAAGGGAGGGGCTTGGGGCATAATGCTGGATGTCGTATCGCTAATTAGGAGTCATGCTGAATGTTGTATCGCTAATTAGGAGTCATGCTGAATGTTGTATCAATAATTAGGAATCATGCTGGATGTCGTATCGTTAATTAGTCATGCTGGATGTCGTATCACTAATTAGGAGTCATGCTTGATGTCGTATCGCTAATTAGAAGTCATGCTGGATGTCCTATCGCTAATTAGGAGACATGCTGGATGTTGTATCACTAATTAAGAGTCATACTTGATGTCGTATCGCTAATTAGGAATCATGCTGGATGTTGTATCGCTAATTAGGAGTCATGCTGGATGTCGTATCACTAATTAGGAGTCATGCGGGATGTCATATCGCTAATTAGGAGTCATGCCGGATGTCGTATTACTAATTAGGAGTCATGCTGGATGTCGTATCACTAATTAGGAGTCATGCTGGATGTTGTATCGCTAATTAGGAGTCATGCTGGATGTCGTATCGCTAATTAGGAGTCATGCTGGATGTCGTATTGCTAATTAGGAGATATGCTGGATGTGGTATCGCTAATTAGGAGATATGCTGGATGTTGTATCACTAATTAGGAATCATGCTGGATGTCGTATCGCTAATTAGGAGTCATGCCGGATGTCGTATCACTAATTAGGAATCATGCTGGATGTCGTATCGCTAATTAGGAGTCATGCTGGATGTCGTATTGCTAATTAGGAGATATGCTGGATGTCGTATCGCTAATTAGGAGTCATGCCGGATGTCGTATCGCTAATTAGGAGTCATACTGGATGTCGTATCACTAATTAGGAGTCATGCTGGATGTCGCATCGCTAATTAGGAGACATGCTTGATGTTGTATCACTAATTAGGAGTCATACTGGATGTCGTATCGCTAAATAGGAGTCATGCTGGCAGCTGGATGTCAACGAGTATACACAATTGAATGTTGAATGTAGTAGTGAAAAGTGAAAAGTCTCAAACATGAAAAATGACTATGTTACGAGCATGGCACAAACACGAACGTTGGCATACTGACCATGTAGCATATTATATACAACCTTTAGGTAAAATGCAAGACGTGCCGCAGATTGATTTTACATTATAAGCTTGATCGTACAAAATGCTGTATTTCCTAACAAGCATGTTTGTGAGAGAATGAGTCTTTAGGTCATGTGTTCACTACATGTATATGATAGTGAGTAATTTTATAGCATGTTATTTTTAGCGTGTGCATACAATGCAATGTACATACAGCTTACATGCAGCGTACAAACGGCAAATGGGGAGAAACGAGACGATACATTTTAAATAAGGCTTAATTCGAAACTCAGTAAATAATGATCAACAAAAGTTATATATTGTCGCGAGGCCCTCGGCCTCTATTCTAAAAATTACCCATATACTGCATCTAAACATAGTGACTGACAGAATAGTAGCAATTTAACAATATTAAAAATGTAATGTAATTCAAACGATTAAAAATAGTCCTTTTTGTTTCTAGCACATTGTGACTTCCCCTCGCACAGAGTGCTATGCTGCGCTATCAGCACTTTCTGACTGCGCACTGTCCTCCTCCTGCAGTATCTTGTAGTACTCTCTGACAGTAATCTTCTGGGGGACAATGTCCGAGAGGAACATAAGACAGTCGTACTTGTCCACTACGCTCGCCAGGTCTTTATACACCACCTCATTCATTCTTCCTCCTGATACCTGTACAATACCATCATTATTCTTATATACTTATACACCACCTCATTCATTCTTCCTCCTGATACCTGTACAATACCATCATTATTCTTATATACTTATACACCACCTCATTCATTCTTCCTCCTGATACCTGTACGATACCATCGTTATTCTTATATACTTATACACCACCTCATTCATTCTTCCTCCTGATACCTGTACGATACCATCATTATTCTTATATACTTATACACCACCTCATTCATTCTTCCTCCTGATACCTGTACGATACCATCATTATTCTTATATACTTATACACCACCTCATTCATTCTTCCTCCTGATACCTGTACGATACCATCATTATTCTTATATACTTATACACCACCTCATTCATTCTTCCTCCTGATACCTGTACGATACCATCATTATTCTTATATACTTATACACCACCTCATTCATTCTTCCTCCTGATACCTGTACAATACCATCATTATTCTTATATACTTATACACCACCTCATTCATTCTCCTCCTGATACCTGTACAATACCATCATTATTCTTATATACTTATACACCACCTCATTCATTCTTCCTCCTGATACCTGTACGATACCATCATTATTCTTATATTCTTATACACCACCTCATTCATTCTTCCTCCTGATACCTGTACGATACCATCATTATTCTTATATACTTATACACCACCTCATTCATTCTTCCTCCTGATACCTGTACGATACCATCATTATTCTTATATACTTATACACCACCTCATTCATTCTTCCTCCTGATACCTGTACGATACCATCATTATTCTTATATACTTATACACCACCTCATTCATTCTTCCTCCTGATACCTGTACGATACCATCATTATTCTTATATACTTATACACCACCTCATTCATTCTTCCTCCTGATACCTGTACAATACCATCATTATTCTTATATACTTATACACCACCTCATTTATTCTTCCTCCTGATACCTGTACGATACCATCATTATTCTTATATACTTATACACCACCTCATTCATTCTTCCTCCTGATACCTGTACGATACCATCATTATTCTTATATACTTATACACCACCTCATTCATTCTTCCTCCTGATACCTGTACGATACCATCATTATTCTTATATACTTATACACCACCTCATTCATTCTTCCTCCTGATACCTGTACAATACCATCATTATTCTTATATACTTATACACCACCTCATTCATTCTTCCTCCTGATACCTGTACAATACCATCATTATTCTTATATACTTATACACCACCATTATTCTTATATACTTATACACCACCACATATTCTTATACACCACCTCATTCATTCTTCCTCCTGATACCTGTACGATACCATCATTATTCTTATATACTTATACACCACCTCATTCATTCCTCCTCCTGATACCTGTACGATACCATCATTATTCTTATATACTTATACACCACCTCATTCATTCTTCCTCCTGATACCTGTACGATACCATCATTATTCTTATATACTTATACACCACCTCATTCATTCTTCCTCCTGATACCTGTACAATACCATCATTATTCTTATATACTTATACACTACTTCATTCATTCTTCCTCCTGATACCTGTACAATACCATCATTATTCTTATATACTTATACACCACCTCATTCATTCTTCCTCCTGATACCTGTACGATACCATCATTATTCTTAAATATTTATACACCACCTCATTCATTCTTCCTCCTTAAAAGTAAATTTTTATCCCATCAAAAGATATCCTAACCAAAGATACAGCGTACGCTGAACTAAACGTAATAACGAAATATATCAAAATTCCGTTCCAACAATCATTGCACGGGTACGTGCACGTTTCCACCTGCGTTACTATTAAACTTCTTATTTCTTATATAATTCGTAGGTGGGTAGTCGGACAAACAGACAAAATAAATGTGGCCTCTAAAAATAAATAAGTATGTAGTTAAAGTACATAATATCTGAAAAGTGACAGGTCTCAAATCAAATATGATTCAACATGTTATAAGAACCCCCCCCCCCCCCCCCCCCCCTTTAGGATAAATCCTATGTACTGAGGAAGATGTAGGAAATCATAGAATTCTTGCAGATCTAGCCTTCAAAAAGTCTGAGAAAATGTCGCTCACTGGGAAGAAAACTTCTCTAGAGAGAAAGTTGAAAATCTACAAGATGTGCCAAAAGTCAGTACCCATACGTTGGCCTTTATAGCTCAGTCACTGAGTGCCCAATTGAAATGATTCTTTCTGGTATGACTTAGTACCACCACTGGTTTAAGGAATTTGTCAACTCGAAAAATATTCGTGTTCATTTTATCAAATGAAGGTTCATGTTCGCATTTATTTGATAGTTTGGATAGTCGGATCGAGCCAAATTTCATTGAATTGTGTTTGGCCATTCGAATAACGTTTGTCCTGAAAAAAAATGACCGAGAGTTTATTCCTTACGTGTGATCAGGTGATTGGCTTACCTAATCACGTAATAAGGTGACCCCGTTAACCACTCCGTTAAACATTATGGGAATCGTTAGGGCTGTCCATTTGCCCAATTAAGGTGTCCTGTCACAGTGTCACGTCATAATCATCCAATCAATTTTTGCTAACGAGCTACACAAAATGCTTGATAATTTTTTCAGATCAGATGCAACATTTAATAATCTACCGTCTCTGCATGTTCAGAGAGAACAATATAGGTGTTTTAATATTGAATGGGCGTGGTCTAAAATGTTTGAATTTTAAAATTTTTGCGACGGAATCCTTGAACAAGTAGATACAGTATGCCATCTGCATCTGCAAAGCAACAACTCTCAAATATAAAACACAGCGAGGTATAAGGCCCAGCCTGTATGAGTTGTACAAGTGTAACTGTATTATGCAAACTGTTGGAGTCCAACCTAAGCCAGTGGCTTTGAAAGCCAGCCATTCAAGAAGATTTTCATTCATTGTTTTTGTGTTTATTTTCCTGTTTATAATAATAATCCCGCTAAAATGGAACACTACACACTGACATGACATCTCAACAATTGGAAATATGGGGGTGTCAATTGATAAAGCTTAGTAATTTAGCATTTTACTATTCTTACTTAATATAATTCAATGCATATAATCATCAAAAAATGACTTTGCGCTGCTATTAGAAATAGTTAATATAACAAAAGTTAAAATCAGAATTATAATCATAATTAGAATTAAATTAGTCAGTTAAATTATAACCTTGTAGCTTTCATCCATTACATCGTATGCTTCTCTAGTCATAAGTTCGACAAACAATTCTGTAGCCCTGAAATTATCAAAGTAATGAGATGTTTCAGCAGGGTGACTAAAATGAAACAATAAGTTTTAAGTTTTGATTTAAGAATTGATTTAGACTGCACGACAAGTTAAACAGCTTTCAAGTTTAAAATTTTACTAGTTTTCAATGAAGTAATAATTACGCATTCAAAACCTACCTGGTAATGATGAATAGTGATTCTTGACTTATCGCGTTGATATCAGGGCACTGTTTCATGATGTTTTTAATCCTGGACAGTGGTAAGAGAGTCAAACATTTGTTCTCTTCTCGTGATAGCTCATGTACACCGTTTTCTTCTGCCATGCTAAACCTGAATATAAACTAGAGAAACTCACAGAAATCTCGTCCTTCAAATGCTTAAAATTGCTTGATGCCTAATTCTAAGAACGAGTCATAAGTCATTCTTCGTTAACATTGCTTCTAAAGTAAAACGATCAGTTTCTCATAGTTCAGAGCTTGGCTCTTTTGCAAATGATCACACCGACTTTCTTCACGACTCAGCTAAAAATTCATTATACCTTAGACCATCCGATCCAAGTGAAATCATTAAGAATTTTGTAAAACAAAGCCACACTAGATTCTAAGACATGAACATCCTTAATACGCAAATGAAAACTTCCGCCTTACGACTAGTTTGAGCAACGTTATCAATAATCGTTAAATGAGGGAGTTTTTCCTGATCAACTGAAGGTCACTAGAGTAGTTCCGATAAACAAAGGTGGTTCAAAAACCACAATATTAACATATTAAATTACCGTCCAATCTCCTTTCTCAAAAGTTTATGAAAAAGCGATGGATCGTAGAATCTAGATCAACGCACTTTTTGATGGTTAATATGGTTTCCCTGAACAATAGACAAATATCCCTCTTGTTGCTTATAGATTTTAGTAAAGCTTTTGATATCGTGGATCACGGCATATTTATTTTTAAAAATCTTCAGCACTATGGCATTCAAGGTAAAGCACTAAATCGTATCTCCATAACAGAAACCGAACTCGTAGCATGAAATGTGGAGAAAAGTGGTTTTCAGAAAAACTTTGAAAAATTTTAACTTAGAAAATGTTTGGTCCGAGTCATCCTCGATATGTACCTCCCGTATCAAGAGCTCCCCATTCCGAGCTCGTGTTGCAAAGGGGAAGCCTGTCTTCCGAAATTGTATTACCAGGGGGAAGCCTCGAGTCCAAAATTGTGTATCAAGGGGTAGGTGCGGACTTCAAAAAACCGAAAAAATATTTTTGGCTAATAATGAACAGGGTAGCATGAAACGTGGAGAAAATTGGTTTCCAGAAAAACTTTGAAAAATTTTGACGCGGAAGGCAGGCCTCCCCTTTGCAACACGAGCTCGGAATCGAGAGCTCTCGATATGGGAGGTATGTATCGAGAATGACTCGGACCGAAAGTCTTTCTGAAAACCACCAAAATATTCGGGTTTTACACACTAGTGGTACACACTACCTTAACCGTCACTGGCCAAATGAATCCTTCGGCCTCCTGTAATTGGCTGGTTACACTTGTGTAATAATGTGGCTGTTGGAATACTCTGAAGTAAAATAAGTGTGAGGTTTTTTTAAAGACGTCGGTTTCGTCTTCGCAGCAGACTCTGAAGAGAATCAGAGACCCACGTCCAACAGACTACACCGGAGAGTTAGATGCCTTGAAAGGAGAATTGGACTTCATTAAGCATTACCTGTCAGATCAGTATGAGTTGAACTGGACAGAGGAAAGAGAATGGGATGAAACTGAGGAGGTGTATTACAGAACAGGTCACATTGCCACTTAATGTTTTAAGCGTAAGAGCAAGGCATGTGGTAAGCTGGGCCGAGGTACTCATGAATGTGAGAAGAAGAAGTCAGGAGGATACTCAGGAGGATACTCAGGAGGATACTCAGGAGGATACTCAGGAGGATACTCAGGAGGATACTCAAGAGGATCCTCAAGCTCAATGGGACACCCGTCACTCCAAAGCGATATTAAAATGAGTGTTCACTAGTTTGGGGGTTAGTGAATAGGAGCAGTAGTCCCAGGTTACAATTACAGTAGTCTCAGGTTACAATTACAGAGATGGCAACCTAACTGGCCACACCAAACCTACTTTTAATGAGTATGAATGATAGTAAATGAATAAATTACATTCAATTTCAGCAATGGCCAATTGGCTGACTATAAGGTCATGGCCTGAACAAACAATTTTTTTAAATAGTCAAGTGATGCTAAAGCAGAGCACAAATGTGTAATAAGTTAATAGATTAAAAACTGATTCATGTGATGCATTACGCAGAGCACAGATAAAAATACTGATTCAATGATTAAAATTATAGCTGTGAGTGTCAATAAATTTCTGTGTCATAAAAAAGGAACGATGTACACGTGATCTGAGATACCAATATCTCAATATCAAAAGGATAGTGTCTAGAAACATTCATAGTCCATGGTGGCAGGTATCAAGTTAAACGAAGTTACACTGACTGGCAATGTATACGATTGCCGTCTCCCTCTCTCACCCCTGACCGCTATCAGGGTGCTCCTGAGGATTGAGAATCTAATCCTGGTGCGCATGTAACACTGAATAGCCGCATAGTCTTCTCCTCTCTTCTGGGATAGTTTTTCAGCGAGTCTCTTGTGGTATCTTGTGGCTTGTGGACCCCATCCGCCATTTGTTGAGTATATAAGTGGGGTAAAGGTGCCTTTTTCCACCTGGATGATTCTGTTGTTGTACTTTTTCATTTTCCTCATTTCATGAGCTTTATAGATCTGTTCCATATCTTTTTTGTCATATGTGGGTGAGTTGGGGTGGGTAACACAGACATCAAAGAATGTTCGTTCAAATGTGCTCCAGAGACCTTGTGAGGATACATCAGGTGCAGCTCTATCAGCATTGGTACCAACAATTTCTTCATTATCAAGGGGTATCAATGCTGGCTCAGTCACTACATCTCTGAATACTTCACGCTGCAGCTCTGCATTTAGATCGCGGATGTTGTTGTGTCTCATAGAAACATAGCCACCTTTCTTGCATATAATAATAATAATAATAAATACAACATTTATAAACCGCCTTATAGCTAAATCATATAACTCGATATAATTTAATCCTGGAGATAAACTCCAGTGCTTTCTAAAGCGGCTCTTACATTAACTGAGCTTAGTTTAATTGAAAATTAGACATGAAAAGTTCATTTTACCTATGTAAATGCAAAATCAATCAAATGCTAGAGAAAAGAAGTATGTTTTAAGTTTGGTCTTGAAAGATGTAACTGACTCAGCTGATCTTATGTCGTATGGCAAGGAATTAAATACTTTAACTGCACAGTGACTAAAAGCTTTCTCTGTGTTTACATAGTTAGGAGAGGGCGAAAAACTAAGGTAAAAATATTCATTATCAAGACGTACATTATAAGTGTGTGATTCACATTATTTCTCTCTCCACAAGCACAGTGAAATGGGGTGTTAGGGATCTCCCAACCATAACGCAAGTACAGAGCATCACGGAACTCAATCTTGTTCAGGGACTAGCCAAATCTCTTCAATGGAAGTGCAGTAAGCCAACATCCTGAACCTTTCTCTTTGATGAACTGGAGAGATCTCTTTAGGTTGGGATCTCTTACACTGTCCTCTATTGATTTACTAACCGTAAATAAGTGTTTCTCCTTGATTGCCTTTTTATAGTGTCATTTTGAATTGACATGTTGTAATGTTCAAGGGTGTTTTGCTGGTTGATAATCAGGTCTGTGAGGTCTTTTGTGATGGTGACTGAGGCTGTGAATTCTCTATTGCAGTTTTCAACTGGGTTGGAGATACCTAGGCCACCATGTCTGACTGGCAATGCAAATATGGAGCGGTCCAAGTCTGATACGTTCTTACCCAAGATTGCTGGAATAAAATCTGTTCTGATGCAATCCTCCAATGGTTGAAACAAGTGACTTATACCCGGGATGGTCCTCTGAATGAACGTCCACCGGTGACAAATTCCCTTAGTATGAATAATGAAATAGGCTAGGTGCCAGGTGGTTAGTGCAGCAGGTCCAGGGTTCGAATCCTAGTGTCACCTAGTCTAGGAAGTAGCTGATTAGAATTATTCTCCATTATTATATTAATTAGATCGCAGTGCTCACGGCCTGTACTGCGTGAACGACAGAAATATCTTGTAAATTATTTTGCTTCTGAAATGTTGGCTCTAGTAATTAAGAAATGCGACATGTAATTGTAAGATAACAATTAAATAGATCTTGTGCGCGGCGCCTACAGCTGACCTACGAATTTCTGAACAATTGAAAATTGTGGCTGTGTGCGCGGCGTACTGTATATGTGGTTGAAATTAAAATTTGAATTTATTTATGAATATAACATTATGTATTGATTGTTTTGTCGACGGTCCTGTATATGGAACAGATATTTTACGAGTATCACCCATTAATCAAATCTAAACTGTCTATATTGACAAAGTTCTTTCTTGCCCCTCTGTCTTCCATTTATAAATACATTTAAAGCCGCGCCGGCGTTCGATCTAATTCTTAGATCGAACGCGTTCGATCTAATTTCTGCGTTCGATCTAATTACATTTTGGTGACAGTAATGAACGAATGAAGTTATAACTTGTATTTCTCGCACCTGGAGTACCTACCCCACAAATCCTAAATTCCCACCACTTCTAAGTTCTAACCACAAGCGTGCTAAATCAATTTTACTGGGCGACGCTCAGCTTGACGGATGTTACTCGTCTAAATTTCTTCGAAGTAGCGCGCGCCGCTTTCTTCTCGAAATGGCCCGATGGTACGAGCTACGAAGTAGCGCGCGCCGGGCCAAATCATTAACAATGGTCAACGCTCAGCCTGTCATTCCGCTGAATCTTTATTATGTTTATGAACATAATAATCTGGGGTCCCAGGTAAAATCACTTTACAGTCGAGTGTAGAGTGATGAATCATTCCACATAGCCATGTGTATAACGCGTACTGCAAGCAAAAGGGCTCTGGTTAGAGCAAATGAATCATCATCCTTCTAACCATCCTTAATTTTTTGAAAAAAAGGTCTATGGAAAAGTTTTCCGGGTGCTTCGCCTCCTCGACCGTACCCTTGATTGACGGTGTCAACCCATTGAGATCGTTGCGCGGCGCGTCGAAGCGGCGAAGTCCTCCAACCTCGACCCCTGACAGTGGGCTTTTACTAATTCGCTCGCCCAAAAATTTCAAGTGACTTTGGTTTTTATGGTTTTGCAGCCGTACAAAACGGTTTTACATAAACCCTAATCCCAACCCTAACCATAACCCCGAAGCTAACCATAACCCTTACCACAACCTTAACCCTAACCCGGGCCCTAAACAATCGAATTCGTATTTTACTTGCCTGTCACGTGACCAAAACGGTTTTTTGCCCATAACTCTCCAGGGAAGCATTTTAACCCTACGTCATGGGGATGATTCGGAATCAGCGTCCAAAAATACACCGCGACCGATCCAGATCACTTTCATGCCCAAAGGGCCGGCCTTTTCACAAGAATTTTCTTAAAATTTGGGCGAGCGATTTAGTAGGAGCGCTGACAGTGACCGAGACTTTACCTGGGGATCTTAAGCTATTATATTTATGTTCATAATCTTGCTCTACCCAGAGCCCTTGCGCTTCACCTGACCATGTGCTTTCGCGCCACTTCGGGCGCGCTTGTTTCACAAGTTGTGAGGCGGGCGCGCGCTACTGCAAGCGCAAGGGCTCTGGATAGAGCAACCCTTGCGCTTGCAGTATCGCGCGCCCGCCTCACTTGTGAAACAAGCGCGCCCGCAGCGGCGCGAAAGCACATGGTTATGTGAATTCATAATCATAGAGCCGAATAGAGATTAGATTTAGTAGTCAGTGTAATAAGTGCTAAGCGTGAGCACGGAACTTTTTTTCTCCGATTTCGATAAATTTGGTACCAAAAGTTGTCTAAAAATGTTAATAAAACAAATCCACCGTGTAGCAATTTTCGCTAAAAATGCTACACTGTACACGACGCTTGTTCGCCGCGCGTGATTTCTTCGCGCAAACTTTAGTTTTTGGCCTATAACTTTCACCTTTTTAGTTGTTATCACATAATTATTTATGGCATCGTAATCAGCTCATCGAGACTTGTAGCGCGATGCGTTACTGTGCCGCGCCGCGCACTCAATAAGGCTTCTCACAGCGACAGATCGGCGAGATGCGCTACTGTGCCGCGCCGAGCTGCCATGAATTGACATCGTCAATTAAATCGAGACGAAACTTTTATTTATATAATTGTAGCGCGATGCGTTTAAGCTGAATGAGGCTACTGTACTCGCTAGATCGGCGAGATGCGCTACTGTGCATCGCCGAGCTGCGATGAATTGACATGTCAATTTAAAACTTTTAGTACTTATATTTTAAGATTTAAAGGAAAATTGTTTTCAAAAATTGTTAATCTGAACACAAGGAAGGACCTTGTTTGAAGTTTTGAAAAAATTTTGAAAAATTTGGTCCTTCAAATACTATAACTTTGGTACCAGAAGTTGCATCTGACTAAGCTTATTACGATCCTGTAAGAATTATTTCAAAATATTCAATATTTTAGGAGTTATAGGCATTTTAAGCAATAAATTACCCATTTTTCGACCTTTGTACATTCTTGCAATACACGTACAGGAGGCCCACATACTATACAGCTCGACGTTATCTGTTATCTTGTTATCTGTTATCTGTTATCTGTTATCTTGCTACACGGTGAATTTTCATTATTCACAGTTAGAGGCAACTTTTGGTATCAAATTTATCAAAATCAGAGACAAAAAATTCTTTACCAACTCATGGCGCTTATTACATAGAATGACTGGCTGAGCGCCGCCCAGTAACCGGGACTCCGCCCAAGACCCCGCTGGGGCAAACCGGAGCCAGCCTCGCTTCGGAATTACAAATTACGGCCCTGCTTAATTTGATGGGAATTAATTGTGGTTTCGCGGATATTATTATTAAGCATGATATCATGAAATGATCAGAGCTTGCAACCAATAATAATATAATATTGCAACCAATAATATATGTTTAGTTGAGTTATTCTATTGATGCAATTTGAAATTTCAGTCTTGCCGTTATATGACCACTAGGTATTTCAATATCTAAGTCTCTTGTTGCTGTTATTGGCATTGCTATCATTTACCTATTTCACATAGAATGAACAACAATTTTGCTGACTTCCTAACAAAAAGCTAGACATGACAAAAATATTGTGGTATACTTATAGTAAACTGAAACATCTGTAATCTTAAAAATGTGTAAAAAAACCTTAGAATCATTTTAAAATTCGAAAATAGTTCTGATGGTATTAATTATGAGTGCATAAACAAGAAACAACTTATGAGTTAAGTATCAACACCACGAGTATATAATATCTCAATTTCAACTTGAAATTTATCATTCAAACGATATCTTTAATTTCCAACTGTTGCAGTAAGTTGGCTACGCTGCAACGGAATAACCTGACATCGAAACTCATCATGGAGTAGTTAGCGTGGAATAACACAAATATTGACAAGAATGGTTAGGCTTTCAAAAGGGCAATGAAAGAAGAATGAGTCTCATAACTCTGGAATATGAATGAGATAAATTTGGAGAGTCTCTCATAGAGTTAATCTCACTAAAGTTACGCAAAATCTAATGTAACGAAATAATCCAAATGCTTCAAAATTTATGTAAAACAACTACCCTAAATACAACTTTATTAATTGCAAGAAGGCTAATATCCAATTAGTTTACTGTAAAACACGTCATTTAGGTGGATTGTAGTATTGAGTAGGTACGAAGGGCATGGTTACTTTAGTGGCGGGAAACACCCTCTTCCTAACTTGAACAAGTAAAGGGGTGCCGTTCTTTATGTACTTGCTGTCCACGTAAGCCATTGCGATGTTCAGTCCACTACACGGCGAGGGGGATCCACTCGTCACTTCACCTGTATAAGGTTACAGTCACTTCACCTGTATAAGGTTACAGTCACTTCACCTGTATAAGGTTACAGTCACGTGACCTGTATAAGGTTACAGTCACGTGACCTGTATAAGGTTACAGTCACGTGACCTGTATAAGGTTACAGTCACGTGACCTGTATAAGGTTACAGTCACGTGACCTGTATAAGGTTACAGTCACGTGACCTGTATAAGGTTACAGTCACGTGACCTGTATAAGGTTACAGTCACGTGACCTGTATAAGGTTACAGTCACGTGACCTGTATAAGGTTACAGTCACGTGACCTGTATAAGGTTACAGTCACGTGACCTGTATAAGGTTACAGTCACGTGACCTGTATAAGGTTACAGTCACGTGACCTGTATAAGGTTACAGTCACGTGACCTGTATAAGGTTACAGTAACGTGACCTGTATAAGGTTACAGTCACGTGACCTGTATAAGGTTACAGTCACGTGACCTGTATAAGGTTACAGTCACGTGACCTGTATAAGGTTACAGTCACGTGACCTGTATAAGGTTACAGTCACGTGACCTGTATAAGGTTACAGTCACGTGACCTGTATAAGGTTACAGTCACGTGGCCTGTATAAGGTTATAGTCACGTGACCTGCATAAGGTCACAGTCACGTGACCTGTATAAGGTTACAGTCACGTGACCTGTATAAGGTTATAGTCACGTGACCACTTTCAAAAATGTAGGAGAAGGTAGATTTTTAGACTCGATTTTCAAGACGCGTGATTGAAAATCGCTCGCGCAATACAATTACTCATAATCGCTGACCTTTAACCGGCGATAATTTCGGCTAGGAACAATATTTTTTCCATGGGACCAAAAACAACTAATAAATATCACTCCCCTCTACCAGAAACAACTATAAAATCAATTTAGATGAAGACCCCCCGGCCCCCTTAAAGACTCTCGTGAAGGGGGTTAACTGTTAGAACACTTATCTTCCATGAAAAAATATATAATAATAATAATAACATGGTCGTGGATATTTAATTGAGTGTTTAATACACTGTGGATTTTCTTTTATTTTTGACTGTAATATACGCTTTTTGCCCGGTCCTCTTATATCTCTTCCCTTGCTCCGCAAGCCCTGTCTCTTGTTTATACAACTTTTAACTCCTATCAATGTACATATCGGAAAATTAGTGTATTTATTAAGTATACTGTATTGAAAATAGCCTCAGATTTGTGTAATGATTATCTTCTGGACTTTGTGATATACAATTGTTACAGTTGTTTCTCTTGTTTTTTTCCCTTGCTCTGCAAGCTCTGCTTCTTGTATAAACATTGTGTTTAGTATTTTGTATATTCTTGTATTTATTGTGGTAATTTGTGTTTCAGATTTCAGTATTAGTAATAGGTGTTTGCATAATTACTGTATTATACACTCTGTGGCCAGCTCTTGTGTGTCCCATCTCTTGCAAGCCCTGTTTCTTGTTTATAGTTTTTTTATTTTTTATCAAGACACTTATTTCAGAGTTCTACACGAAGACTTATCAGATCCCTAGGATGTTTTATATTATTACTTCGGATTTGTGTAAAGTTTGATAATAATATATTAAGACTAGTGTAACCCGTGCCTACGGCCGGGACTTCGCTATCGCAGTTGAAATGCAAAAGTATAATCCCGCCTATTACATGTTACAGGGTGATCACGATACATTGAAACAGTTTTAAATGTCTATAATAATTTGTATGAAGGAACTGTCTACTATATTTTCCACTAATTTTTTTGCTAATCGGTTAAGATTTTGTTAAAAACCAGTTCAGATTCGGATATTTTACAAACTTGAACATAGGTCATGAAATTTCGTATCTTTTGCTGCAAGGCTCGTCAAACATGCTATTGCCTAATTTGAGAATGATCCAAGCTCGTTTGTCGCCAAAAGGTTCCTTTAACATACCTTTCAGCCCAACAAGAATTGCACCGGTTAGCAAATATATGTTGCTTTATGTATTATTCTAAATTTTGCTTCTTGGCGGTCTAGTGTAATCGATCTTGAATTTCTAATCATTAGACAAACCGATAGTTTCTCCCTCCAAGTTGAGAACAGGATAGCCGGGCCGAGCAGGTGCTCTTTCTACCACCAGACCTACTCTTCTTTTTCCCGTTTTAGGCTTCGCAATGAACTGTCCCATGATCTTTTCAGCACCAGGGAAGTCCCTTGCCGCTCGGCGTCTTTTACCTGTGGTAGGAAATCTTACATCTTTATCCAATAAGGCATGTCAAAAAAGCAATCTATGGTTTTGGAATTTCGGACAAATCCGGACAGGAGGGGGGGGGGGTTTATGAATATTTTGGCAGAATTAACGAAAAAGTCCCATTTATTTCAACTCTTTGACACTAATTGTTTTAAAGTTTTAAGAGAACTCTCCTTAAATTATTTTAATGCAGTCACTCAGATAAGATTATACCAGGACACTTCAACAAAGACACATACTCTGCCCACAATAAGGGGCCATAATTGTTTCAACTATGTAACTGTATAGAATTATTATTATTATTATTGACACTAATTACTCTGTAAGTTTAGATCCTTGCATTTTGAACGAGAAGGCGATTCCCAGAGCAGCTCATGAGAGCCGAGACACAACTCGCATATTCTCCTACTGCCTTAAAACTTATTCGATTGGATGGCTGCTTAAGTACTTAAATGTGGTTTTGAAAATTCGGACACACCCGAACAGGGGTAAGATACTGCACTTAGCTATAGCATTGTTCACGTTACCAGATTGTTTACGTTTTGTGTCTCGTCCTCGCGGGCTATATTATTCATATAGCCCAGCGGGCTGAAACATGTCATTCGCTCGCGGGCTGTATCATCAGCGGGCTGAAAAATTCCGGGCCCTTTTACTAGCGGGCTGTGCGGGCCTGCTGTAGCAAAAAGAGCCTGCTAATGAATATACTTTAATATAATTTAAGATACCTATATCCGTATCTTTTTGGAGGCCTAAATAAAAATCGATGCCCACAATAAGCTTGAAATGCAATTCTTAATCGATTCCGAAAATTTCATGCAAAAATATTGAAAACTGATGGATTTATTTTAATTTTAATGAAGTAATTTAGGCTAATATCCCAAACCGAGATATGTGCAATTTTGTTCATGATGATTGAAGGACGAAGGTATATAGATATCTTTCACATAAAGTTAGTGTCATTCAAAAATATTGAAATTTGATCGATTTTTGGGCAAAAGCTTTCAAATTTGGTGTGTATGCCCAAATATGGGCATATGGTTTTAAGCTCATAAATCAGCCACTTTTTGACCAAACTGGATGTAAATTCATGTACTACTCCAAAAACAGGCTTATCTTGCAAATCTAAACGAAGAATACAGCTCGAATAATTTTGGGTATATCAAAGTATATTAGAATGTAGGTTTTTTCCCGATTTGAGGGCGGGAATATACTTAAAGGGGACATACACCAAAACCTTTTTTGCCGGGACCCGGGATTTGACTTCATATTATGAAAGTATAGATTACAACTGTAAGATTTGAGGCATTGAAAAATTCTTTTGAGAGTACGCACATTCGAAAAAAAAATTATTTTCTTTTTCGAAAGTTTGGACCAATTCCAAAGAAGGGCGACCTTAGCGAACCAATGAACTATCGGGGAATAAGCTTGTCATCCCTAGTTGCCAAGTCTCTAAACAAGATGGTTCTAAACCGGTTGAAGCCAGAAATCGAGACAATTCTGCGTAGAAACCAGAATGGATTCAGACCAGGAAGGTCAACAACTCAACAGATATTGGTACTGAGACGTCTTATAGAGGGTGTCAAGAGTCGGAAACTGCCAGCTGTTCTGACATTTATAGACTTTAAGAAGGCTTTCGACAGTGTACATCGTGGGAAAATGCTAAAGATTCTAGAAGCTTACGGCATTCCAGTCAAAATCGTGCAGCTTATACGGCTCATGTACGAGAAGACAATGGCCAAAGTCCTAACTCCAGACGGAGAAACTGAATTGTTCGAGATACTTGCAGGTGTGTTACAGGGTGATACCTTAGCAATAGTCATCGACTACTGTATGAGGCAAGCCATAGGCGATGATGCGGAGCGACTTGGACTCACCCTCGAACGTAGAAAAAGCAGAAGAGTGGGGCCCAAGATCATCACCGATGTGGACTTTGCAGATGATATAGCACTTATATCTGAGGACATGGACAAGGCTAACGAGTTCCTGCTCAGAGTAGAATCGGCGGCAGCAAGCGTGGGACTACACATAAACGAAGGCAAGACCAAGGTCATGACACTGAATATGGAGGATCGATCTAGCGACCTACAAAGTCGATCCGGGGAAGCCATAGAAAATGTAGATGATTTCATCTACTTAGGCTCCTGGATTGAGAGCACAGATAGGGAGATAAGGGTTAGAAAGGGAAAAGCGTGGGGTGCCCTACATAGACTGAAGGATATCTGGAAATCCAAACTCTCAAAGAGCCTAAAGATTAGATTGTTCATAGCGGCTTGTGAATCAGTACTGCTCTACGGATCAGAAACCTGGACACTGACAAAGGCTCAAGAGAAAAGTTTGGACGGGACATACACAAAGATGTTGCGTATGGTGCTGGGTATCTCATGGAAGGACAAGGTCAGCAATATAACTTTGTATGGTAGCCTCCCAAGGCTGTCAAACAAGTTACGAAGCAGGAGATTAAAAATGGCGGGACACTGCATCCGACATCCTGAGCTACTTGCCAGTGATTTAGTCTTATGGGAACCTACGCACGGTAGAGCACAGCAAGGCCGACCAAGACAAAGCTACTTGTCTATGTTACTGAAGGAAGTTGGGACAAACTCTAAAGAGGAACTGCGAACCCTGATGCGGGACAGGGATATATGGAGGGGGTTTTCTGGCGTAGATCGGACTTAGCTCCGACATAGTAGTTGAGAAGTCTGTCACTGTAATACCGATATTTCAGTCATTTTAAACGATTTTTGGCTGATTTTTTTACTGAACATTATTAACAATCCGTACAAGAAGCCCTGTAAAGAATTTTATAATTAAAGAATATATGACGAAGTTACAGACCAAACAAGGTCGAGAGAAGCAAAATTGAAATTTTTGTAAAAATCAAAGTTGTATATTTTACCATTCACCCAGGTCATAAGATATCGCTTCAAAAATTCTTGTGAGTGTAGCTGATGATCATATCCAACTTTTTGGAACAGGATTTCTCTCAATTTTGAGTTTTAAGGTATGAAATGTGGCCTCAAACGACTTGGTAAAATTCATCGTAAAAAAGGGCCAAACATGGCAGATTTAAGGCTTAAAATGCCTATAACTCAAAAAGCATCAATTTTTTTTGAAATAATTTTTACAGAATCGTGATCAGCTTGAGAAGACGAATCTTTTAGTACCAAATTTATAATAGTTTAAAACACAAAATTTATAAAAAAATGTGTACAATTTGTACAAAATTTATACAAGGGGGGACCCTTGTGTTCAAGCTAGAAAATTATTTAAGACAATTTGTCTTCTAAAATAACCTATTTGGTACTAAAAGATTCGTCTTCTCAAGCTGATTACGATTCTGTAAAAATTATTTCAAAAAAATTGATGCTTTTTGAGTTATAGGCATTTTAAGCCTTAAATCTGCCATGTTTGGCCCTTTTTTACGATGAATTTTACTAAGTCGTTTGAGGCCATATTTCATACTTTAAAACTCAAAATTGAGAGAAATCCTGTTCCAAAAAGTTGGATATGATCATCAGCTACACTCACAAGAATTTTTGAAGCGATATCTTATGACCTGGGTGAATGGTAACATATACAACTTTGATTTTTACAAAAATTTCAATTTTGCTTCTCTCGACCTTGTTTGGTCTGTAACTTCGTCATCTATTCTTTAATTATAAAATCCTTTACAGGGCTTCTTGTACGGATTGTTAATAATGTTCAGTAAAAAAATCAGCCAAAAATCGTTTAAAATGACTGAAATATCGGTATTACAGTGACAGACTTCTCAAAATTTCCAAAACTTTCGAAAAAGAAAATAATTTTTTTTTCGAATGTGCGTACTCTCAAAAAAATTTTTCAATGCCTCAAATCTTACAGTTGTAATCTATACTTTTATAATATGAAGTCAAATCCCGGGTCCCGGCAAAAAAGGTTTTGGTGTATGTCCCCTTAATATACTTTAATATGGTCAGCACTCAGCCCGCCATTGCCAGTAAAATTTACTCACTGATCGTCCACATCAGAGCTCCCTCCACAGGTGTAGTGGTCTCATTAATATCGTTACCATAAAGACAGAGACCAGCCTCCAGTCTCAAGCTGTCTCTAGCACCAAGACCAGCTAGTTTCACCTCGTCACTCACACTCATCAGTCTCTCCACCAACTCCACTGCAGCGTCATCTGGCACTGAGATCTGCAAAAGAATGAAGGTTAGTCTCTCCACCAACTCCACTGCAGCGTCATCTGGCACTGAGATCTGGTAAAGAATGAAGGTTAGTCTCTCCACCAACTCCACTGCAGCGTCATCTGGCACTGAGATCTGGAAAAGAAGGTGAGAGACAAGGTTACTTAGCGTCATGGCCTAGCTACAGTGTAGCTACAGTGTAGCTGCTACACTTTGTTTCTCAAATATCACGGAACAGCAGCACTACTACACTTACCTCTACGCCGTCCTCGCCGGTATACCCGCACCGGGTAACCCGGCAAGGTATTCCCCACACGTCAACTAACGCTGTGTGGTTAAAATACAGCTCAGACAAATCTTCTTTTATTCCTTGTTGTAGAAATGACGCCACCTTCGGTCCTGTATGATTCTTCATTAGAATTCAGTTGGGGGGGGGGGGGGGGGGGGCCCTCAGTTGACAGATTACAAACTGACTGGACAATCTAAATGGACATGTTCATTTGGAGTTGAGGTAAATATTAGTACCCCTGTTGAAAGGTACGGTGTAGTTAATTTTGTCAAACTAAGAGATTATATAAACTCTTGTTGGCTACGATAATCGTCTCGTCCTCTAGGCAAACTTTGTCACATATCGTCATCGATATCTTAATCAGGTGATAAGATATAAGACCCGTTTGGCCACTTTTTTTCCTTACTCTTGCTGAGGGCAAAAATATCGTAGGGAATAAGTAATCGGGTTTGGATAAATGAGGTGGCCCGACGGCGCTACGTTGATGACAAAAGTCTGCTCCTTCGCAATATAGACCACTAAACGTTTTTGATAGAGAATTAGAATTAGAATCAAATTTACATAGCAATATAATATAAATAGTAAACAATTTAAAGACGCTTCAATCTGCTGTGCATGACATTTAAATCAGTTAAAAACTGTTAATAGAGTACCATTCTAATATAAGGGCATATTAGATACCCACTTTGATATATCGTCAGAATCATGGTTTATTCCGTCACACCTTCAAGAGAATATATGAGCAATGTTTAGAATTAGGGCACCCTGACAATCAAATGTTAGCAACATTTGAACATTTCAACAGATGTGCAGCGTATATATAGACCTGTAGAGTGAAGTGTTACAGTGTACAGTGTACAGTGTTGCAGTGTACAGTGTTACGGTGTTGCATTGGTGACAGTTACAGTAATGTTATTCAAATCTCAAACAGAAATGCGGTCGCTTTTCTTTTAGTCTTTTGTGGATGGCCGCTCAATTTCCCGATCCGTAATCACAGTGCTGCCAAGCATGACCGTTGCCCTTATACCTCCCATACTATTATACCCCCTTTACTGTTTTTTCAGGCATTAAGGCTCATTGAAAGTCGTTCAGCAGGTTTATTTTTAGTTCGAAACATTACTGTAAGTGTCACCATTCATTCACAGGTTACGAATTTTAATAAGTTTCGATTAATTACAATTACATGCTGTAAAAATCTCTTTGGGTTGTTGCCCCTATCGTCAATCATTTCTGGTATAGCTGTAAGAAATGTGCAGGGGTAATGTGAATTTTCTGTCGTTTTGACATCAAAACGTGTTACGTCGTGGTTTATAGACCATCAAAACGTGTTACGTCGTGGTTTATAGACCACCCCAGTGGAAAGTCATGTTATCATCCACATGGGGAAAATCTTGCACCAACGCTGCCCAAATGACCTGAGGATTCATTTTTATACTCAATCAAGACACGGAATCAAGGCCACCATTCCAAGTCTTAACAAGAGCAGTACTCAACGTCAACAGTCATTGTATGATGGTTCATTTGCAGTAATGGGGCCACGTTTATGGAACACCATTCCATCAGATCTTTACCTCATTGAAAACACACTGCTGTTCAAAGCAAAGCTATCAGCATTTCTTAAACCGTTTCCAGATAACCCATTTGTTAGAAATTACAGCTGCCCTAATGAAAATTCGTTGCTGAAGTATGAATAAACCAGCGGCGATGCTGCAAGGGCAGTCGAACTATTCGTTGCGGGAGGGGGGTCATACACTTAGTACCGTACGTGACGTTGGGGGGGGGGGGGGGGGGGTCATATTTTCTTCAAAAACACAGTTAGTAAATGGGACATTTCCCAGAAAAACAGTTCTAGTACATGGTTCCAACTTCCAAAGGGGGTGTCCAACCCCAAAAAACCCCATTTTACCTTTTTAACTTTAATTTTGGGAATGGATTTTTTGGGTTTTTGTAACTTTTTATCTAATTCGACTACATTGAAAACAAAACCCCTACTAAATAGTGGATACAATTTGCCCATTTCCCAATGTTTATTGTTTAATGACCTGTTTAAAGCAATTTATGGGCGGGTATTATATTTTATATACCAAGAAACAGTTAGTACCGTGATTTCTCAACAGGTTGTACCACAAAAGCCGGAAAAAGGGGTGGGTGTCTTAATTATTATCCGAAAAAACAGTTAGTACCGCGAAAGAGGTGGGTGGGTCTTTTGACAAAATTCCAAAATTACACTTAGTCGACGTCACGTACAGAACTTAGTACCTGATCCCCCCCCCACCCGTTCGTTGACCCAGTATAGCAATATACGTAATACGAATCCAAAGTTAGTACTATTAACGCTGAATAATTAACGTGGTATTAGCACAGCTGAAAAGTGAAACATTTCTTTTGCCGCGAAATCTTCAAATAAGGCTGCACTCCCGCTGCACTTGCAGTATAATTTTACAACTTAATGAAAAAACTTTATAAAATTATGAATTTTCCACAACTAATCAGTAATACCAAATAGTATAAGCAATGACTAAAGAATAAAAATGTATAATAGTTGAATCGAGAAAACGGTCGCATTTATAGTTAACATTATCGATTATAGTGCGGGTATAGTGCCTAACAACAATACATTTTCCTCCTGGGCAGTACTGCACATATGTAAGTATGGGTCACGTGGCTAATGTTCAGAACTTTTGAACATGCTAGGTTAAATTTTGCCACTAATGTCAAAAAAGCTATTATTTCATTTGTGTTAAATACCCATAACCTCAACTTCAAATGAACATTTCCAAATAGTTCAACAGAATGCATGGAATAACTAATTTAATTGTATAGCCTCACCCTGTACTGCAATGAGGCTATGCTGTGGTTTCACCTCCACTGTGATATCCAGCCCCGACCTGACCGCTGCATCTCTTCGCTCCTGAACAACATTACCTTTCAAAAGTAGGTACGCAAAAAACAATTTCTCGAAAAATATATAATTTGTTGGCTTCCCAGTGGGAAAAGAGAAAGCGGAGAGACACAAAGCTTTTCTAACATGACCATGTTATGACATGGTTATGACATGGTTAAGTTATGACATGGTTAAGTTATGACATGGTTAGGTTGTGACATGGTTGTGACATGGTTAAGTTGTGACATGGTTAAGTTGTGACATGGTTAAGTTGTGACATGGTTAAGTTGTGACATGGTTAAGTTGTGACATGGTTAAGTTGTGACATGGTTAAGTTGTGACATGGTTAAGTTGTGACATGGTTAAGTTGTGACATGGTTAAGTTATGACATGGTTAAGTTGTGACATGGTTAAGTTGTGACATGGTTAAGTTGTGACATGGTTAAGTTGTGACATGGTTAAGTTGTGACATGGTTAAGTTGTGACATGGTTATGACATGGTTAAGTTGTGACATGGTTAAGTTGTGACATGGTTAAGTTGTGACATGGTTAAGTTGTGACATGGTTATGACATGGTTAAGTTGTGACATGGTTAAGTTGTGACATGGTTAAGTTGTGACATGGTTAAGTTGTGACATGGTTAAGTTGTGACATGGTTAAGTTGTGACATGGTTATGACATGGTTAAGTTGTGACATGGTTAAGTTGTGACATGGTTAAGTTGTGACATGGTTATGACATGGTTAAGTTGTGACATGGTTAAGTTGTGACATGGTTATGACATGGTTAAGTTGTGACATGGTTAAGTTGTGACATGGTTAAGTTGTGACATGGTTAAGTTGTGACATGGTTATGACATGGTTAAGTTGTGACATGGTTAAGTTGTGACATGGTTAAGTTGTGACATGGTTAAGTTGTGACATGGTTAAGTTGTGACATGGTTAAGTTGTGACATGGTTAAGTTGTGACATGGTTAAGTTGTGACATGGTTATGACATGGTTAAGTTGTGACATGGTTATGACATGGTTAAGTTGTGACATGGTTAAGTTGTGACATGATTAAGTTGTGACATGATTAAGTTGTGACATGGTTAAGTTGTGACATGGTTATGACATGGTTGAGTTGTGACATGGTCATGCTGTCGGTATTCTAGTCTATGACCGAAAGTTAAAGTCTCATAAAAAATATTGAAATTTACTCATTTAAGGGGCCAACAGCTATCACATTTTGTTTGTGTTTCCAAATATGGGCATATAGTTTTTGGCTCATAACACGGCCATTTTTTGTCCAAACTGGATGTAAATTCATGTATGAGTTCAGGGGAGTAACAACTGGCTTATCTTGTAAATCTGAACGAAGAATATAAAACTACTAATTGTAGGTATATTAAAGTACATTAAAATGTAGGTTTTTTCCGATTTTGACCCGGGGATATACTTTAATATACTTTAATATGGTTGCCCCACCCCCCAATTTTGGGTTTTGGTGAAAAATACATTCAGCTATTTTATCTATACTTAATTACTTACACTGATATGAGCGAAGTCTTTCTCAGCGCAGCCAGCATTACAGACTAGGTTAAGAAAACCAGCAGAAGATTTGTGAACAATACAGTCGTCAATAATACCACCTTCCTCGTTAGTCATCAGAGAGAGTGTGCCGGTATCTAATGCCAGTGACTCCACATCAGCCACTGAAATACAATAGTTAGTCATCAGAGAGAGTGTGCCGGTGTCTAATGCCAGTGACTCCACATCAGCCACTGAAATACAATTCTAAATGTGGGGAGTTACTGTCATTATTAAAAATTCCCAAATCTTTGCACAAATCATATAATAATAGCCGGCTAGCTACAAACGATATAATAGCCGGCTAGCTACAAACGATATAATAGCCGGCTAGCTACAAACGATATAATAGCCGGCTAGCTACAAACGATATAATAGCCGGCTAGCTACAAACGATATAATAGCCGGCTAGCTACAAACGATATAATAGCCGGCTAGCTACAAACGATATAATAGCCGGCTAGCTACAAACGATATAATAGCCGGCTAGCTACAAACGATATAATAGCCGGCTAGCTACAAACGATATAATAGCCGGCTAGCTACAAACGATATAATAGCCGGCTAGCTACAAACGATATAATAGCCGGCTAGCTACAAACGATATAATAGCCGGCTAGCTACAAACGATATAATAGCCGGCTAGCTACAAACGATATAATAGCCGGCTAGCTACAAACGATATAATAGCCGGCTAGCTACAAACGATATAATAGCCGGCTAGCTACAAACGATATAATAGCCGGCTAGCTACAAACGATATAATAGCCGGCTAGCTACAAACGATATAATAGCCGGCTAGCTACAAACGATATAATAGCTGGCTAGCTACAAACGATATAATAGCCGGCTAGCTACAAACGATATAATAGCCGGCTAGCTAAAACGATATAATAGCCGGCTAGCTACAAACGATATAATAGCCGGCTAGCTACAAACGATATAATAGCCGGCTAGCTACAAACCATATAATAGCCGGCTAGCTACAAACGATATAATAGCCGGCTAGCTACAAACGATATAATAGCCGGCTAGCTACAAATCAGAGAAAACATGTTATTTACCAAGAATGGATTCAATAAACTTTATCCTATCTTTTCCGTGGATGTGAAGCTGTAGCATGTGGCTGACATCGAATATGCTAACACCCTGAGAGAGAGTACAGTGTGGGCCAAAAGTAACGTTTTAAATTAATTACAACACTACAAATCTATTACATTTATCGAGAATTATGTAATGTAACGCGATGGAAGTATTTTATCCTGTCCAAACCCAGGATGCACGACATAAACAATTTGTTTTAACTTGTTAAGCATTATAACAACCCCTAGTTTCATATTTGGGACCTGTAAATTTGCGGATGGTATGCTGTAATTACTAATTCGAGGATTCCGTCGCCAAAATTCGAATATTTTAAACCACGCCCATATATTATTAAATTACCTATTATGTTCTTTCCGAACATGCTAGACACCCAATTTTCTGAAATGTCTGTAGATAATAAATTAATAGTAATAATAAATTGAAATTTAATAACACCGCTTTTAAGATAAATCTTATAGTTATACTCAGCAGTGTTTGAACTAGTCATCCCAGAAAATATCATGAATACTGAGCTAAAAAATAACATATACTTGAAATATATCGTCAATACTAAAGCCCGAAAATGGTACTTAAATATATTATGCAAATATCGAATTCCAAATATGACCACAATAGTTATCGATAAAGTTGTTCAAGTTCATCTGGAGACATTTTGAAAAGGTAAGTTTTTAGAAAAGCTTTAAAAAATTCCAAAGATTGAGCAGAGGTGATGGTAACAGGCAGACGATTGTAGATCTTTGGAGCCACTACAGAGAAGCTACGCTCACCAAACTTTGAATTACAAGAAGGACCAATAAGCTTCAATGAGTGACCATGATGAGCATACTTGAACATGTCCTGCAGATAAATTGGTGCCAATCCTAACAGTGACTTGTGAGATAGTAATAAGATTTTGAAGACAATCCTTTTTTTTACATCTAACCAGTGAAGCTTTATCAGGTCATCATCAAGATGGTCATGTTTATATTTACCAGTGACAGCTTTTGCAGCAGCATTCTGAAGTAACTGGAGCTGATGCAGCAGCTTCTCGCCAATACCAAAGTACAGACCGTTACAGTAATCTAGACATGACACTACTAGACTGTTAACGATGATCTTAATCTGTTTGGGACTCAGTAGAAATCTGATTTTTCTGATATTACATAACGTATGAAAACATTTCTTCTTGAGATTTACGATCTGTTTATCAAATACCAGCTGATTGTCCATTACTAATCCAAGGTTCTTAACAGTACACACAAACATTACCAAAGTGTTAGGAGCTATATCAACGCCATGAAGTTCTATCTCACTGAGCACTTTACTAGGTCCAAAGACTATGAGTTGTGTTTTAGAATCATTCAGTTGCAGGTAGTACTGTGACATCCAATTCTTTATCCTCTTGCTCCTGATCTGAAAAAATTAGCCAAAACGGATATGAAATGACAAAGTTAACAAGCGTTTTGTGTATCTCGTTAACAAAATTGATTGGGTGATTATGTGACACGACACCTTAAGCCTTAAGGGTTAAGGCCACAGGGGGTCGAGGTCATTTTTGAGATTTTGAGTTATGTTGTAGAGCTCGATCTAAATTTTCAAATGGTTTTGTCCTCAACGAAAAAAAGTTTCCCATCTGTAAATATTACACGTAAAATTTTGAGGTTTACCTGTAATTCTACTTTAAATAAGGTTTTGGCAGAAATCTTTCTTCTTTTACAGTTTACACCTTGTAACTTAGCAAAAGTGTTTGTCAAGGTCTTGTCCAACAGAAATATGAGGCGATTTTTGATATTTTGCTCCTAAGCTGAGATATGAGGTTAACAACAAGTGCGTGTCATGATATTTTCGACTATTTTCGACAGTTAACCTCATAAAAAGAGTAAGAAGCAAAATTTTAAAAATCGCAAAATTTTAAAAATCGCCTCATATTTTCTGACTGTGATTATCTCAGGAACATTAGTTCCAAATTTGAGCTGAAACAGATGAAAGCTCTAGTAGAAGATAGATTTTAAAGGTGTTTTCAGGAGAGCCAAAAGACTGATTTTAAAGAAAATGTGTAATTTTTCAAATAAATAAAGAGCATTATATAATAGTTTTGTTGACGTTGGACGGCCAATTTGTACCCATGGATAAGTTTAACTTAAGATGAGAGCAAAAAAATGTTAAGCCCCCCTGCCCCTGCCCCCCTGCCCCGGCCCCCTCTGCCCCGGCCCCCCCCCCCCTCCTGGCTACGTGCCTGGGCATCTCTGGCCATTTCATCTTGTAGCTGTTTTATTTTCTTTGCACCGATGGATGGTTTACTATACAGCCCCACATCCAGAAAGTTAAAATTTTCCTCGCAGATACAAAGTTTTCCGTGGCACGGCTTGTGGTCAGAGAATTTTTTTAAATTCTGCACTTGGAATGGCCCCCCCCCCCCCCCCCCCCCCCCCCTTGGAATGACAGCACTGATTCTATCAATTCAGGCGTGACTGCCATATAGTCAACTACGCTGGCACCATTGTAGTTGAAAGAGGTATATTCCCCAAAGATGTCTCCCAGTGTATTACCTTTTAGCAGCGATAGCCGAGGAAATCTAACAATAGGTTACCCTGGGGTTAAGTACTTGATCCTTGCTTACTCTCCCGATGGCCGCTAGTTTTTGGATGGCTGGAGGGGATTTCATCAGGTTCAGTGCTAGAGTCATCTTCTTCAAAGTAGAAGTTAGTGTTTAGGTCGCCCACCAGCAAGATCTTGCCAAGATCGGGGTTACATGATAATATGTAGAAAACAATATTGGTATTGTTGGTATTGGTATTGGTATTGTTTTCTACATATTATCATGAAACGGATCGTTTGTTTTAATTTTTCGAATTACATATGTACTAGAAAAACCCGTGGTCACAGGAAGGAAGCTAATAGTATTCTTTGATAGCCAGTTTTAAACGCTTCAAAACATATCCATTACAACCAAAGATACAGCTGATTAAAATATTGCTCGCACTAAACAGAACGTAATATCAACAAAACCGATAAAAATGCCGTTCTAACAATCTTTGCACGTGCACGTGCGTGTAACAACCCTCGTTACCATGGTTACTATGCAACCTTTTGCTTTTTACCTAATTTGCACGTGGGCGGCCGGCGGTCGTACATTATACATTACTAGCAGGAACCGGTATAACCCTAAAATGGTGTCAAGACTCAAGAGACTAAAATAATTATTACCTATTTAATTCGCGTTTTTGGGCTCTAAAACTCCTATTTCTTGGCCTATTTTTATTTTTTCATGCTGATTTGGAGGCCATTAAAGCATTTGACCCAGTTTCAAAAAATAATGCAATAACGGGCTATATAACATGGATCTCGACTTCCACCTAAGATATGCAGGTCAAGAATGGGCTAGCTAACATAGCCCACAAAGTAATTACACTATTTTGGTCTTCACTCCTTTTTAAAAGCAGGGTGATATGGGCCAGGTTACTTGGCCCAACTTATTTCCAATAGACTGATTTGGTCTACCCATTTATAGAACATTCTGTGGGATAGGTAAGCTAACGTAGACCAAAAAATGAAGAAATGGGATAGTTTTTTCCGTTTATCTCAAAACTACCAAAAACTTCTTAGCCCATTCTTGCATGTGCAGGTTCATATACTTGTGGCTGTAAGGTTTACTGGTTTGATGAATAAGTAAATAGATAATACCGTTTAAATTCGGCAATATTTCATACTCATTATATTTATACATAAGTGCGGTTTTCCATTTTCCAAGTGTTATAATATTATATCCGTTGTGATCTTCTTAGCCTGGATTCTGGAATGAAATAAGAAATTTGGCCATGCGTCATCGTCATTTTCCCGCAGCAGATTCAAAAGCATACGTTTCATTGAAAATGTCACAATTTAGCTTTGAATATTGTACTATGCGTGTAGAAGACATGAGTATAGTTCATTTTTTGCTTTCAATATCCTACACAGATAAAAGTTAAGTTAATATTCTGTAACAATGAACTTTAATCTCAAGCGGTTCCACATATCATGATATAAAGGAATACAAGGAATACAAGGAATACAAATTTAAAATCTTAAGCTACAATAGTAACTGTTAAGATAATAACAATATCATAAGATTTGAATTTATTATATTAATATAACTTAAACTAAAGTGAAAAATAAAGATTTTGACAAAAAATATTTTGTTTAAAGTGTACTGATCAGAGCATGAAGCGGATGTCGAGAAAACGGACGTAATTCTATTAAAATTTTCTGCGTATTGAAAGAAACCTGAAACAGATTAAATTTAAGAAATAGATTAAATTACCTTCCTTGTATGGAGATGTGACTCCACATGAGATAAGTCCGGGTAGGAAACCGGAAGTGCCCATCCAGCAAAGTCCACCATTTTGCCACCTTTTTCTAGGTGGAAATCATACAGAGATGTCTTCTTCAGCTGAAACAATCCTTATAATGCACCGTCAAGTCGCTGTGTGTATTTGTATATGTATATACCGTGAAGTCGCTGTGTGTATTTGTAAATGTTTATATCCTTATAATGCACCGTGAAGTCGCTGTGTGTATTTGTATATGTTTATATCCTTATAATGCACCGTGAAGTCGCTGTGTGTATTTGTAAATGTTTATATCCTTATAATGCACCGTCAAGTCTCTGTGTGTATTTGTATATGTTTATATCCTTATAATGCACCGTCAAGTCGCTGTGTGTATTTGTATATGTTTATATCCTTATAATGCACCGTCAAGTCGCTGTGTGTATTTGTAAATGTTTATATCCTTATAATGCACCGTCAAGTCGCTGTGTGTATTTGTAAATGTTTATATCCTTATAATGCACCGTGAAGTCGCTGTGTGTATTTGTATATGTTTATATCCTTATAATGCACCGTCAAGTCGCTGTGTGTATTTGTAAATGTTTATATCCTTATAATGCACCGTCAAGTCGCTGTGTGTATTTGTAAATGTTTATATCCTTATAATGCACCGTCAAGTCGCTGTGTGTATTTGTATATGTTTATATCCTTATAATGCACCGTCAAGTCGCTGTGTGTATTTGTAAATGTTTATACCGTCAAGTCGCTGTGTGTATTTGTAAATGTTTATATCCTTATAATGCACCGTCAAGTCTCTGTGTGTATTTGTAAATGTTTATATCCTTATAATGCACCGTCAAGTCTCTGTGTGTATTTGTAAATGTTTATATCCTTATAATGCACCGTCAAGTCGCTGTGTGTATTTGTATATGTTTATACCGTCAAGTCGCTGTGTGTATTGGTATATGTTTATATCCTTATAATGCACCGTGAAGTCGCTGTGTGTATTTGTAAATGTTTATATCCTTATAATGCACCGTGAAGTCGCTGTGTGTATTTGTAAATGTTTATATCCTTATAATGCACCGTCAAGTCGCTGTGTGTATTTGTAAATGTTTATATCCTTATAATGCACCGTCAAGTCGCTGTGTGTATTTGTATATGTTTATATCCTTATAATGCACCGTCAAGTCGCTGTGTGTATTTGTAAATGTTTATACCGTCAAGTCGCTGTGTGTATTTGTAAATGTTTATATCCTCATAATGCACCGTCAAGTCGCTGTGTGTATTTGTAAATGTTTATATCCTTATAATGCACCGTCAAGTCGCTGTGTGTATTTGTATATGTTTATACCGTCAAGTCGCTGTGTGTATTTGTAAATGTTTATATCCTTATAATGCACCGTCAAGTCGCTGTGTGTATTTGTATATATTTATATCCTTATAATGCACCGTGAAGTCGCTGTGTGTATTTGTATATGTTTATATCCTTATAATGCACCGTGAAGTCGCTGTGTGTATTTGTAAATGTTTATATCCTTATAATGCACCGTCAAGTCGCTGTGTGTATTTGTATATGTTTATATCCTTATAATGCACCGTGAAGTCGCTGTGTGTATTTGTATATGTTTATATCCTTATAATGCACCGTCAAGTCGCTGTGTGTATTTGTAAATGTTTATATCCTTATAATGCACCGTCAAGTCGCTGTGTGTATTTGTATATGTTTATACCGTGAAGTCGCTGTGTGTATTTGTAAATGTTTATATCCTTATAATGCACCGTCAAGTCGCTGTGTGTATTTGTATATGTTTATATCCTTATAATGCACCGTGAAGTCGCTGTGTGTATTTGTAAATGTTTATATCCTTATAATGCACCGTCAAGTCGCTATGTGTATTTGTAAATGTTTATATCCTTATAATGCACCGTGAAGTCGCTGTGTGTATTGGTAAATGTTTATATCCTCATAATGCACCGTGAAGTCGCTGTGTGTATTTGTATATGTTTATATCCTTATAATGCACCGTGAAGTCGCTGTGTGTATTTGTATATGTTTATATCCGCTTTGAACTTTATGGAGTGCACGAAAAGAGGAATATTCAAGCCCCGGCTGGGTGGTTGAATTTGTTTGTTGTCTCAATAAAAGCGGACTTTTCTTTTCAAAGCGAGACTATTTTTATAGTCCGTAGGAAGGACACACTGCTAGCATGTCCGACCTGTTTTGCTGCGCGCGTGGGACACTAAAACGCGCGCGTAACGTGGGAAAATTGTGCACTACCCTACAAAAGTTTCACAAAAACAAGTAATCCCGGTAGATGCAGTAGATGAATCCATAAATTTGGAACATGGGCACATCGAAGTATTGGCTGTATTAATTATTTGAGTGCTGGGAAGCCTCAATTCGGTTTTCAAAGATGGATTTAGTTATAAGCTAGGCCTTAAGAGCCATCAAAAGTCGCATAAAATTACACAGGTTTGAGGTTCATGGAATGAACGGAAATGAACGAAAATTAACAATCTCCTAAAAGTGCTCAGAATGGTTCAAATGGTTCCAAAAATCTAGATACTCAGGAGGATTATTGAGAAAAAATTGGACCACCCTTACACCGGTTCTAGACATGCAGTGATTCCCAAACTTGGTTTGATTGGTCCAAGGACCAATATTAACTCTTTCCGACCAATTTTGAACCAAATATTAATTTTCGTTCATTTCCGTTCATTCCATGAAACTGGGTCATTTTGTGCGACTTTCGATGCCCCCTATACCTAGCTTGCAACTATCATTTACAATTATTTTTGGCACCATTCATGGCTTATTAGGGCAAATAAATTCCACTTTTGTTCCCATGTTCCAGTTTTGTTCATCGGATTCATCAACTCAGTAATCCCTGGAATGTGGATTAGTGATTACTCCCTTAGTGATGTTAGGCCCCTATCTCCCTATTTAAGCTTCTCTGAGAATACAGTTTATAACATGATAATTTCTTATGATCACTAGGGTATCTTCTCAGGTTTCTACTTTTTTCAAGAAAATTCCCGCATGTTCATGAAATGAACCTAATGAACAAACTTTACTGTGTGCCAGAACTGTCTCTTAATAAAGTTAAGACGACCAAAACACCAGAGTCATAGGATGTTTTTGAAATGACTGGTCGGAATATTGATTGTACAGCAAATCGGGGACATCAATTTTGCCGCAAACTTGCACTGGGAGGTATGTATATAATCATATCTCAGAATGAAAAAAATTGATATAATGTTTAAAAAATTAACATTTACGTGAAATGCCAAGATGTCCACTAACCATTTGAAATCTGTCTGTATCGATTTAAGAAGTAGTTCTAAAAAGCTTGAGTCCTCTAGTATGTAGTAACATATTTAAACAGCCCAACAGCATTGTTACAAGGATCAGCTAGACTTATTGCACAAGAAAAAACTATAAAATCAATTTCACTTTCTAATACGCAGGGTTCGATATTAGAAGAGTGAAAACTACACTCTACAACTTTGGGGCAAACATTTGTCACACGAATCCCACAGTATTCGTAAAATTGAATGAAGGGTTGTCATGCCCAATGTGTCGAACTTCGAGATTGGGGACGGGTTCTATAAACAAACAAACAAAGAAACGCATAATGAATATATTAAGCTTCATGTCGCTAAAAAACGGTTTATTATGTTATAATATTACAGTGATGGGAAGCATAATTTGATAATTAGTAACATTTTACTAGGTATTTGTACCTAGCATTATAATCTATCTTTATTTATTAGTGCAGTGTGTAATATATCAATAAACCTTCCCATGAATCCGATATGATACTTTTGTAGTGTTTTCTGGTGGTTTATTGTTAATCGTTGTGTGGTAAATATCATATCCTATGATTACTATATGATATAATTAAAGTTTTAATATTTTCTGAATAGACTTGTTTTTGAGATGATTTAGTAGTTTGTTGCTGGATATTTTCACCTCACCCTTTAGAACCGCTCTGTCATGGTTAGTACCTGACACTTGTGTCAGTTGCTAACCATATGGGTGGTATACAAGCACATTATTTCATTTCATAGTTTAATTTATCAATTTTTGTAGAAATGTTTACGATAACGTGTTATGATGTTTTAGGTATAATTATCTGATTTGATTCATATAGTTCTGCATCAACTTTTAATTCAGTTTAAATTGATTAAAATTGGCATAGTTTATTGTTGCGAATACCCCCCCCCCTACCAATATAATGTTGACTACTGACTTACCTCTTCGATGGATGAAAAGTTTCTTCTCAGGAGAATATGTCGACTGCTTCGCAGAGAATTTCGGCTCAGTAACCCAAACATTGCTAACAGATAGTAAACAGATAACGGATCTGTGCAAAATAGTAATACTAACTCAAAATAATAATAATATGCTATCAATTAGTCCCTAGCGGGATGCGTACATGGTGAAATTAACAATTTACTTGAACAGTTCAGCACCGCGCGCCAACAATTGTTTAATTCAGATTATCGCGCAAAATAACTTTGCGCAGGCAGAAACGTGGGCGATAACTGGGGGCGAGGGCACGTACGGTCGCAAGCTACCATATACAAAAAAAACCTCGTTCGCTAACCCTTGTCCTTGAATCTTTTGTGCCTTCGGCACTTTGAGTCATGGATCGGGAAAAAATGAATTTTAGAGATATGATAAATTACTCCTTTATTAATTAATTTTTATCGATTTAATATTTTCAAAATTCCCAAAAACTCCAAGCAATAACTAATAATTAGTTCATAAATATGATATATATATAATGATTTAATGATATTATCATATCGACAGAAAGCTATTTAGGCTCCGTAATGCCTAAACACATGATCGGCAAAATGTGACTTAGTCCCAATTAAGATTTTACTGATTCGATGACAACTTGTTTAAAAGAAACAAAAGGTTACATAAAATTATAATTGAAGTTTGAAAATCACATTTGAATTTCGATTTAAACGTATGTATCAATGTACATAATATTATTGAATAACGATTGACCGTAATTTTTCAACCCAATAGGAGCACAAGAAATGGAATTAAAATTGAAACACCAATTACTCACAACATAATACACAATATTATGATAGCACTATAGCATGTATAGCACTATAGTACTATAGCATGTATAACAGTATAGCATGTATAGCATGTATAGCACTATAACATGTATTTTACTATAGTACTATAGCATGTATAGCAGTATATCATGTATAGTATGTATAGCATGTATAGCACTATAGCATGTATATTGTATAGCACTATAGCATGTATAGCACTATAGCATGTATAGCACTATAGCATGTATAGCACTATAGCATTTATAGCACTATAGCATGTATACTGTATAGCACTATAGCATGTATAGGTCTATAGCATGTATAGCACTATAGCATGTATAGTGCTATAGCATGTTTAGCACTATATCATATATAGCACTATAGCATGTATAGGTCTATAGCATGTATAGCACTATAGCATGTATAGTGCTATAGCATGTATATCACTATAGCATGTATAGCACTATAGCATGTATAGCATGTATAGCACTATAGCATTTATAGCACTATAGCATGTATAGGTCTATAGCATGTATAGCACTATAGCATGTATAGTGCTTTGACTACCTTCAAATCTCGCGTAAAAACGACCAATTTGGATGTCAAAGTGTCAACTGTTATGATGTTAGTTGATTGATCTGGGATTTTATCTGTTTTAAACCCGACAGTAAAGAAGCGAGAGAATCTTTAGAGAGGTGAGCGTTAACTGATTCAGTCCCAGAAGTGTCTTTGATGTTGAGGTTAAGAAAACAAAGTGGTGTGTTGGTGTCTTGTTCAGTACTCACAGTCCAGGAGAAAGCTGCCAGTTTCGGCAACGAGACCTGATTTTCAGCTATCTGTTGCCTCCAAAACGGTAGCAGCTCCACGATAATCTTTGTAAGAAGACTTGCTAAACTTTTATGGAAATCTTCTGGAAAAAGAGATATGATTTCCTCAGGGCTTGCAATGTTGTTCTGTACAATTTTAGAATTAAAACCACAGAGAGAGTTCAATAAAGTTTCAGTTTCTTGGCCAGAGCAGTCCAATGTAGTGGCGATTGCATCTAACGTCTCTCCCGAGTAACTATCATGCTCATTCATCGATTCATGGCATATTTTTTTGACAAAATCTTTACTCTTGGCTTTTAACAGTAAGTTGAATGAAGTAAACTCAGTCATCCTGAATGTTTATATTATTAGCAAAGCAGTTTAAGGAGATTCTCTAGATACACCCCACCACCCCTGGTCCCTTAAATTGCTACAGGGAGTCCCAAAGAAGGCCACCAAATGTCACTTGCCTTGACTTTAATATCAGGACTTGTAACTTCGTAGGCCACATGCTCAGGGTTGCCGGCATTTTTGAGAGTCATTTTTAAGGTTTTTTCACGTCTTTTAAGGCCCCTTTTGACCCATTTTTAAGGTCCAAAACAGTTAAATTCAAGGTTTTTTAAGGTCCACAGTGCGAAAGTTTGGACAAACGTAATGCAATAAAGGTGCAAATTTAAGGTTTTTAAGGTTTTCCGATACAGAAATTGCAATCATATCTAAAGGGGGAAGGTATAATTTCAGAAAACCCCAATCAGATCTACAACAAGCTAGGTATAATTTCAGAAAAACCCAATTAGATCTACAACAAGCTAGGTATAATTTCAGAAAAACCCAATTAGATCTACACCGAGCTAGGTATAATTTCAGAAAATCTTATCAGGTCTACACAGAGCTAGGTATAACTTCAGAATATCCAATCTTATCTACATCAAGCTAGGTATAATTTCAGAAAATTTTACTAATCCGGAAAATCCATTTAGATCTACAACAAGCTAGGTATAATTTCAGAAACACCCAATTAGATCTACAACAAGCTAGGTATAATTAAAGAAAAACCCAATTAGATCTACACCGAGCTAGGTATAATTTCAGAAAACCCCAATTAGATCTACACCAAGCTAGGTATAATTTCAGAAAAACCCAATTAGATCTACACCGAGCTAGGTATAATTTCAGAAAATCTTATCAGGTCTACACAGTGCTAGGTATAATTTCAAAATATCCAATCAGATCTACACCGAGCTAGGTATAATTTCAGAAAATCTCATCAGATCTACACCAAGCTAGGTATAATTTCAGAAAATTTTACTAATCCGGAAAATCCATTTAGATCTACAACAAGCTAGGTATAATTTCAGAAAAACCCAATTAGATCTACACCGAGCTAGGTATAATTTCAGAATATCCAATCAGATCTACACCAAGCTAGGTATAATTTCAGAACATCCAATCAGATCTACACCGAGCTAGTTATAATTTTAGAAAATCTTATGAGGTCTACACAGAGCTAGGTATAAATTCAGAAAATCTTATCAGATCTACATCAAGCTAGGTATAATTTCAAAAAATTTTACTAATCCGGAAATCCATTTAGATCTAACATCAAGCTAGGTATAATTTAGGTATGGAACCTTAAAAAACCTTAAAAACCCGAAAATTTGCCCGTTTTTCACGTCTATTTTAAGGTTTTTTGCCCAAAATTGCCGTTTTTAAGGTTTTTAAGGTTTTTTAAGGTTTTTTAAGGTTTTTAAGGTCCCCCGGCAACCCTGCACATGCTATGATGCTCCAGGATCTGTATTATAAGTTTTCAAGCAAATGAAATTTATATAAAGTAAAGCAGATAGCGCAAGAAATGAGCTAGATATTAGAAAATTTGTAAAAAACGTCACTAGGCTGCTGCGCCTTCCTCAAATGAACTAGAGGTCTGACGTTCTCAAGCCGTTCTGGAGTTATTAGGGCGTTGCCCCCCCCCCCCCCCCCCTTATTAACACTGATCACTTCACACTTGGTTGCCTCTTTTTGGGACCCCTGTATTAACGAGCCCTCATTAATAATGTACCACAACTTAGAGGATATTAGAATAATGATTATAATCAAATCTACACAGCAATTTAAGAATTTTGTATGAGTTGTCAAGGACACTCAAATCAGTTCTATGAAGTGCTAAGTGCTAGTTACAGATATAGGCTCAGAAACCGATAAATGGAGGCACGGTTAATATTTAATAAGTATTTTAATGATAGACTATCTGCGCATTGGTCAAAATTTTAAAATAAAGCATCTGAATTGGGAATATGTTAACAATCAATTTGCAAAAAGATCAACACTAAATTCAGATTTCACATTCTACAGAATAACACATAGCAACTAGTAACACCCTAGTAACACCCTAGTAACACCCTAGTAACACCTTAGTAACACCCAAGTAACACTGATTGCATTCTCACCTAGCTAAAAAAGTATTGTCTTCTTTTGTTAACATACAGATAGGAACAAGAACTTAGCATGCACGATACATTTTCCCTACATTGTAACAGTACTATTTTAATACTTTCAACACTGCCACATAACAAATAATTTGAGATCATGAATACGATGTTGAGATGTTGTGACATTGAAAGTTGAAACGTAGAAAAATTCCATTTCCTGATAAGAGCTTTTTCCTTGTCGCAATAAACAAATTTGGCCCCAGAAACATTACAAGTTTACAACTAATAAATAATGTTCCGATCCGGATATTATATAACCATAACCATAACCATAACCATAACCATAACCATAACCATAACCATAACCATAACCATAACCATAACCATAACCATAACCATAACCATTTTTTCTGGTATGACTTGCTATTATCACTCATTCGAGGAATACATCAAATCAAAGAATATTCATGTTAATTCTTTTCGAATGAAGGTTCATTTTCGTATTTATTTGATAGTAACTTGGCAGTACTACCGGGCATTATATAAGGACGACCGGGATATCTCAGATATGGAGCTAACAAGTTTATTCATTCAAATTTATATATTAAGTGTGATCAGGCGAATGGGTTGACACAAGATCTGCATTATGGGAATCGTGCAGAGAGCCTAATTACGGTGACCTATTGAAATATGTTACAATGAAGGTTCTACCATGTTCAGAAACACGAGTATAAGCAATTCAATTTTGATTGGGTGTGGCCCCTAAAAATCGAATTTTCAAATTTTGGCGATGGAATCCTCGAATGAGTAGTTACAGTATTCCATCTGCAAAGTTACAGATCTCAAATATGAAACACGGCGATGGTATAAGACCCAACGTATGTACACTGACTTTTGCCCGGGGGCATTAGCGTTACTGTTTCAATTTATCATTTCAAGTGAAAAGTCTAGTCGTAAGCCTGCAACCTAGAACGGCATACGTGACCAATGACCATTACGTTTTTGTTGTAATGCCGTATGGGGTAATCATTTTTGCTCCCTTTATGTAAATGAACTTAAAAACCTAGATACTTTTAAAACCTTGGTTTATCTAAAAGCCATACAATATGGTAACAAGCCAATGACATCTAAGCCAAGGGCAAGGTAAAAAACAACATCTCGATCATTCGACTGAGTCAACTGAGGAGAAAGTTACACATATATCCAACGTAATCCTAAGCTCACTTCATAAACTAGGCGACGCTGGGATTATAAAGATTCTAATAGAAACCCCCGATTAAAAGTTGAAGCTGCCATGCTAACCACTCGGCCACCTAGCCTAAAAAGCCGTGCAGTGTGCACATAAAATATCTGATCTTTATCCACTTCTTATTAAATCTACTCATAATGAAACTAGTTTCTGTAGTCAAAGATCTTATATTTGAAAAGAACCTGTCATTATATTCACAATAAATATACCTTAGTTCGTTTAATTATGGCTGGTTAAATTTGGCGGTTTTTCGGAAGTTTCGCCTTATTTTTAGAGTTCTGTAAGGGTATATGGCATAATAAATTTTGGAAAATCCGCAATATTTTAACCTGCCATATTTTACCTGCCACAATATTACCTGCCATAAATATACGAACTAAGGTATCAAAATTTAATGTGCTATGAATCTGTCCTTCAAATGACCCGAACCTCAAATGGAACGTCATCGGTCATTTTGATTTTTAACATTGTTAAGATACTCATCTTTTCTCTAATTTCTTGAACTTTGATTCAAGAACTTTAGTGTAGGCATCTAGACGCAGGGTCGCTTGCTCGAGGGAGGCAACAGAAACATCTGCAGAAAGGAGCATGAAAAATATAACTAGGATAGAGTTATTAATGCTGCAATATCTATTAATATATCAATAAGTATTAATAATTATTACCATTTGCTCGTCGCAAACATAATGTTAAATATATTATCCGTGATCAGATCGATATTTTCACCTAGCTGATTGAGTTGCTCCAGGTAAGGCAAGAGTAATGAACACCCTAGTAACACCCTAGTAACACCCTAGTAACACCTTAGTAACACCCTAGTAACACCCTAGTAACACCCTAGTAACACCTTAGTAACACCCTAGTAACACTGATTGCATTCTCACCTAGCTGATTGAGCTGCTCCAGGTAAGGCAAGAGTAATTAACAGCTTAGTAACACCCTAGTAACACCCTAGTAACACCTTAGTAACACCCTAGTAACACCCTAGTAACACCCTAGTAACACCTTAGTAACACCCTAGTAACACCCTAGTAACACCCTAGTAACACCTTAGTAACACCCTAGTAACACTGATTGCATTCTCACCTAGCTGATTGAGCTGCTCCAGGTAAGGCAAGAGTAATTAACAGCTTAGTAACACCCTAGTAACACCCTAGTAACACCTTAGTAACACCCTAGTAACACCTTAGTAACACCTTAGTAACACCCTAGTAACACCCTAGTAACACCCTAGTAACACTGATTGCATTCTCACCTAGCTGATTGAGTTGCTCCAGGTAAGGCAAGAGTAATTTATACTTGACATCAAGATCATGGAGACTGTCTTTAATCTGTGTTGTGGAGTGAGACAGGTTCGTATACTGATCAATAGCGATCGTGTTTAGTTCCTGAAAAAGTGAAAGTAAATGTTTTACAACACATTATTTATATTATAGGCCCAGTTTTACAATATATATATATACACACTCTGTTACAAAACATACATTGGGGGGGGGGGGGGGGGGGAGGGTAGGGTTGGGAAATACTGATGGTTGCGGACGGGAGGGGGGGGGGGGTGGGTCTGGGCCCAAATCTTTATTAATCAAATTGAGTAATTCGATATATGATCGATATAAGTCGAGGCTTCCCCTTTTATTTGCGATCTCGGAAAACATGCCTCCCCTTTGTAATGTGAGCTCGAAAGCCTGCCTTCAGAGGTGGGTCCGGGACTCTAGGGCGTAAGACTCTAGGGCGTAAGACTCTAGGGCGGCGCCCTACAAAACAGGACTCTAGGGCGTGAAAAATCTTGGGCGTGAAAAAAACAGGACTCTAGGGCGTGAAATATTGTTTTTTTCTAATTTTCTGCGTCTATGAAGTCAGCTTCGTGGTTGTGTGGAATTGCAGGTGTCTCCGTGGACCGTGAGGCTCAAACCCTTGGTCCAGATTCACCCCTTACAGGATCCGGCTTTCTTCACACATCTCCAAGACTGTGACCCATCTTTTCTTAGTTTTCCATCTGGAGAGTACCGGAATCCTAGGTGCAGTGCGTTCTTACTCTTGGCCGTTCTTCCTCTGATTAAAGTAAACGAAAGATCGGACATAGTGTAGTAGGAAACGAATGATAATGAATTAATGATGGGATAGATCACTAGATCATGTTTTTATTGTTATTGTTTTGATTATAAACATCTTTCTTTACTGTACAGGGTGTGTTGGTGAGCTTTTATAATTTGACAATAAAATGTTGGTGACTGACAGCTTCCCACGCTTCCCACCTCTAAGACACTAGCTATCAGTATTGTTTACATTTAAAGTTTATCATTATGTATGGGACCGGGACTCTATTATATATGTATATAATATCAAATATGCATACTATAATAGTACAGTATTGTTTTGAAATAAGTTTAATCCGCTTTCGTTATGCTCAGTCAGTGTTACATTTCATTGGCTGTATCTTAGGTCGAGATAAATACTCCCTGTGAACCTGTGACAACGGACATCCTTATTAAAAATGAAATTAGATTCATTTTGATCGAAAATATAAAAATTATATTTCACGCCCTAGAGTCCTGTTTTTTTCACGCTTTAGATATTTTCACGCCGTAGAGTCCTGTTTTGTAGGGCGCCGCCCTAGAGTCTTACGCCCTAGAGTCTTACGCCCTAGAGTCCGGACCCCTTCAGAGGTACGTATTGAGAATAACTCGGACCGAACATTTTCCCACAAACTTTCTCAGAATCAGAAACATTCTTGGTTTAAGGTCCTCCAAAGTAGATGAACGTTGGTAGTCCACAAAAACTAGAAACAGTCTGGATTGCCTGTCAATCAGGCAATCCAGACTGTTTGGAGGAGATAATGTCCTCTAGATAATTCTACAAAAGGAACTATAAAAATCCTAAAGTTTTCCAAAGCAACCTTTCTTTGTGACGGCCCCACAACAACAATATATTTCCTCAATGCACTTGTATCGGACACTAACAATCTAGAGATCCGATGGATAGCGGGGAAACTAAAAAGCAGATAAGCTGGCAAAGCTTGGCACAACCACTGAATCCAATTTGAATTTCGACGACGACAAAGTCACCAGACTGAATCAGGAAACCTGGTTACCTGATGGTCCCAGGCACACCAAAATGTCACTCGGCCACAAACATGGAACATGTAAACATCATGAAAAACCTTGACACTACATTCAGCTTCATGTCCTATATGTAATGTGTGGCGAAGAAGAGGAGACTGTCTTGCACTTTCTTGGACAGTACCCGGCTATTGCCCAAATAAGAGGGCAATATTTCCAGGACTGTTACCCCTCTGTCAATGACATATTTGACAACCAACATTAGGAACCGACCGGATATCCGGCTGAATCCGGATTCGGCCGGATATCCGGCTTCAATATCCGGTTTCAGCTCCGGTTTCAAAAAATTTTGCCGGAATTTTTGCCGGATATTTCTTTTAAAAATGTATTTCTAAAATCTTGAAATGAATAGTTTTCGTCACATTTTAACTCAAATCTCTAAAAAATCAAAAATTCTTTGACTAGGTGCAAACTTTGAAAAACCGAAAAAATATTCTCGGCTAATAATGAACAGGGTAGCATGAAACGTGGAGAAAAGTGGTTTTCAGAAAAACTTTTGACTTCTGCCTTCCGAGATTGCATTACCAGGGGAAGCCTCGAGTCCAAAATTGTGTATCCTCCCTGCTATAAACGCGAACGCAATGCAACATAATATTATGTAGTATAGAGGAAAACCGAACCTTCTTACGAACAGTAGCTCTAGTATTGCTCTTTCTCACGTTTTATTATTATGATTCAGTCTTGGCTCCGAGTCAACTATTGTGCAGGCAGCAGATTGTTGTCTTACTGTCTAGTAAAACGATCCAGTGATAAAATATTCTTGCATGCGAATCAGGGTACTATTGTGCCCTGAAACGCTTGATTGGAACTAACTAGTGATTAAGTGCGCCTGCATGCTAAAAAGGTACAATTGTGCCCTGAATCGGGAACTATTGTGCTTTGATACTCAGACCTGCATGACAAAAAGGAAACAACTGTGTCTCACATGTGCAATCGCGCTCAAGGTGTCTGGTAGTATTATATGCGAATTGCATATAATTTAAGATAATAACTTGTCTACTCTTGTTCCATCGTTCTGCTTGTTGATTTGATATTTGAAGAACCTTGAACCATAAAACCTTTTCTCAAGGCATGTTCTTAATTAACTGTACTATAGATTATTATATTTGTCTATATAATAAAAAAATTGCGGCCAGGTAGCGTAGTTGGTTAATCATCGGATTTGTAATCGTGAGATTGCGAGTTCGAAACCCACTGCCTGCCTAGTCGTGGGGTGAGTGTCGTCGACATTCAGCTAAAGATCCTGAGTGGTCTATGCAGCCCCCCGGTCTACTCAGCCGAATATTCGAGAAATCGTGTGTGAGGGTTAAATGAGGAGCTGTCCATTGCAGCAAAGTCTCAGGCGAAGAAAGTATGGTACACACTACCTTAACCGTCACTGGCCTAATTAAATCCTTCGGCTTCCTGTAATTGGCTAGTTACACTTGTGTAACAATGTGGCTGTTGGAATACTCCGAAGTAAAATAAGTGTGAGATTTTAAAAAAAAATTTGTATAATAAGTATATTGACGTAGTGGATGGTTGAGGGGGATTCAAGCACAGGTCACTCTCAAATCCTAAAGATAAGCAGTGGCCTTCGGCACTTGAAACCTCTTCAAACCTCCCCTGATTTATTTATTATTGTTATTGTTTGATTGTGCCGTAAAAATAAATATTTGTTTGATTAATATTTGTTTTATTATAAGCTTGATATATTTAATTTCATCTGAATTTTGATAATATAATTTACTGTTACATAATATACGTATAATTTAAAAGAAAGTATCGACTTTCTAATTTCTGTCATTATAATCTATATCCAGGGCACTACAAAGGTTTCGCAAGTTGCACAGCATCTTCAAAATACTGCACTCCATGGAGAATGTGATAAAACTGAGGGGATTTCAAAGTAACCATGGTAACGAGGATTGTGGAAGAAACCAAGTGGAAGAAACCAAGTGGTAAGATCCCAAAGCCGAACTATGGCCTTAACCCAACCCTCATATGATTATAACATATAAAGCAGCTAAAACACCTCCAGAAGAGCGTAAGTGTCTTTGGTTCCAGACAGCTCAGCCTGCAAGTAAGTAGAGAGCTTGTCAAATAATTCATGGGAGACAACCTCCAGCTGTTCAGGACCTTTGTCTTCTTTTGACTGCGTTTGTTCTGCAGGGAGTGGCAAAGTCATTCAACAAGTTTTAATTAAACAACTAGTTGAATTAGATTCAAAGTAAAGGGGGGAGGCAGGGAAGGGGGAGGGGCAAAAGTCAGTACACATACGTTGGGTCTTATTTAAACATAAAAGTGTGTTGGTCTTGGTCTATCATGCTTGTATTGGTTTTGGACCTCTTGCTTACTGTTTTCTAAAATTTATGTTCGGTTATATGAGCTATTAATATGTACATGTGATATACTGATATGTAAACGTGTAAGCGAGCATATTTGATCATGATAATTATATAATGTATTACGACAATGCAACAAGCAAGCACTTTATCAGCTGGTATTTTATACCAGCGACCAGCATGCTAACTGCTTGCATGTACGCTTTTACTCAACTCAAGTATATTTATAATATGTAATAGTATGCTGTATGTTTGATGTTACCACCTAGCGCCAAAATTTAGTTGGATATTACTGTATTTATTCGGTTATATATTTATTGATTGTGTAATAAATTGGTGATAAATAATAAAATTGTATTTTCTCAAAAAAATTTAGAAATAACCCCAATGTATGTGTACTGACAATTTTATATACAGGGGGCGTGGGCCTTAACACTTAACAGGTTTAAGTCAGTGTGCAAACCTTTGGGCTTGCAAACCTAAGTCATTGAATGCCTAATTGAGACGAATTGTTTAATTTCTGTTTTCTTGATTTCAAATGTAGTGATTATTCTTTGTTTTATCAGCTTGGGACAGAGATAATGCCAAAAGTATCAATTTGTATATATATATATACGTATTATATATGCTCAATGAATGAAGTAAAATAGTATCTGTAGTAAATCATACTATACAAGTTACCTTGCTGTGAGGATGTAATTAAAGGAGCTGTTGATTGATCACTTTCCATAACAAAAGCTAGAAAAATATTTCAATAATACAGGGTGGCCCATAAGTAACTGCCCACATACAACCCTTTAATAACTCACATAATTTTTCTTAGAATTGGACAGAAATTTCAGAGATTATAGATATTGATTGAAATAAATTTTCGTGCACATACAGAATGAATGGTTAATAATATGGGTCAAACATAGATTTGGGTCAACATAGATTTCCTGAATGTTTCGTCAAATTTTATTGATTATAGTGGGTGTGGCACACCACTCCCTCTTTTTCACTATTGTCACAATAAAGTGAGAACGCATTCAACTAGGAACTTCAAAGTTTCTAGACACATATACACCCCCCGCGCGTGAGGGCACGTTTTTGCTAGTAATTTGCGACATTACTTTATGGATATCGAATCTCGCGACTTCAACGAAGTGCTGGGGACAAGTTTTCAATAATTCATAAACTTTTCAGTTCCTATCGTTTTAAGCATCGTTAGGGCTTTCCCAGAAACTAACTCTCATCATCCTAGGATAATCATGTGTCGCACAGCACTTGTTTCAGTAGAGAGTGTACTCGCCTTTACGAGAGAATGACGTGTACGTTTCGGTCACCTGCGGAAAAAGGAAGTGAGATATCGAAAATCTGAGATAAACCCGATCGATAAAATCCTTTCAGGTAGGTGCTAGTCAAGGTTTCATCTCTTTAGACATTAAGATGGCTTCAAACACCTCACAAAAAGTTTTCAAAAGTAAAATTGACTCGCGACCTACAAATACCACCATAAAACTTGCCCTCATATATTTTTGAGGGCAAGTTTTTGAGCGCGCCGCGTGACTTTGTCTCAGCAACAGCGAGTATAGTTACAATCTCGCAACTATGAACAGACAAGGAAAATATTGTATTAATATCTGTCAAAGGAATTTAATGTATTTTAACAACTTGTTCTAATAATGCTAATAACTAATCGATGAACCACATAAATGGTCGGCCCGGTGTGAGTGTATAGTATGGATTGTGCTCTGAAATGGGGCGCTGTTATTGGTTAATACATCGGCCAATCAGGATCGAGCTGGTTTGTGGCTGCAGTCCAAATTTAGGATCATATCTGATTAGGTACCTAATTAGTGATTATGCACTTTAAAGTAAGATTAACTCGGTATTCACAATCCACATTAAATCGCTACATTTTGCAAATCAGCTGATATTTGTAACTTTAAAAAAATAATTGTAACTTATATATTTATTCAGGTCCCCAGTTTAACAAGCATTCAGGATAGAAGAACCAGCAGCGGTTAATGACACTAAAACAGAAGTGGAGAACAGTAAGAACAGCAGAAAGAGTGGAGTGAGATAAATATCTTTTCTTTTTCTGCACTGGTTACTGATACTCAACAGTTATTCAAGAAAATTCTGGCCTGGGTTATGTTTTAAAATTAGATATAGCCCTGCCCATGTTAGTTTTGTTTATTGATTGATTGAAATAAATTTTCGTGCACATACAGAATGAATGGTTAATAATTTAATATATATGTAGACCAAGCTCTGTGCACGGGATGCTTCCTGGAAGAATCCAGTTCTTTTAGCGGGGCACCCTACCTAAAGCCAAATTGAGATATAATAATCATATTCCTAGAGAAATAATCAGAAATCGAATACCAATCAAATAATATGATATATATGAGTAGTAACCATATTTACTATGCAAAATGCCCCAACCACATAGTGTAAATTTATATAGAATTCAAATTCCATATCATCATTAAACCTCAATACCTAGTCAATATAATAGCCCAAGCAAAATTAAATAACTTCTTATATACCTTACTGTCATACTACAAATTAATTAAACATTTGAAATCTGTTGACCAGAGAATAAATTTCTAAGCCTAATGCAAGTGAAATAATTTAGATGCAATAATGAATGCCTAATGTGAGTATCATTTGTCAATGTCCTTGTAAACAAGTCTGTACAAGAGATATGAGTAACTAATATAGAAGAAAAAAACAGGAAGTTGTCGTCTGTTGTAAAATAAATAAAATATCTAGAATATAAATTAGAATATAAAATAACATTCAGTCAATGTGTCGTCAATAAACTGTACAATTATCAAATGTTAAAACTGGGTGATACAGTCACCAAAAAAAAATACTAAGTATGATAAGTTAATAAATTAAATGTGGTCTATAAAACTACCACTAAGTATAATAGGTCAATAAATTAAAAGTGGTTTATAAAACTACCACTGTGGGAACCCCTTCTCCAGTTAAAACATGTCAGTCATGTGCAAAATCAATCAGAATGGTAAGGTGGTAAAAAAGGGAATATCTTTTCGATACATCAATTATATATGCCTCAGATTTAAAAGAATTAGAAGTTACTTAGTTATCGGCGACTATGATTGCAGTGTAAAATTTGTCATATGAATTGTCGACGGTATAATTAGGGTCTGTTGTTATAGATGATAGTAGCTGTTTCTTATACGAATCACTATAGCTTTTAACATCGGGCAGATTTCGTAGATCTGTTGGAACATTATTCCAACATTTTGCCCCCAAGTATTGAAAGTTTTTATGTGATGTTGATCTATTGACATAAAGGTTGCAGCTTTCGCCGCTCCTACTACCTCCTGATATGTAACTAAATTTGTTCATAAAGTTTGTAGGACAATTGTCATGGATGATTCTAAACATATAATTTGACAGATGGAGTTGTCGTCTAAGATGGAGTGGTAACCATTTCATGTCTCTATAAACATTAAGGCTGCTCTCTGTTTTTGGAACGTTGAGAGCTATTTTGGCTACCTTTTTGTACAGAGTGTCAAGTTCAGCAAGTTTTGTCTTGCCAGCTCTACAATAGATCGTGTCTAAATAATCGAATTGTGGCAACATGAGTGCATTGGCAAACATTTTCCTATATTTAATGGGTAGCAGTGCTTTACTTCTATACATGGCACCAATTCTCTTCATGACCTTCCTAATAATATAATCTACATGGCTTTTGAAGTTTAATTTACTATCTAGAATGAGGCCAAGATATTTTGTCTCTTTGCACTCCTTGATTGTGAAAGTTACCTCATTACAATCAATGGTTATTTCATCATGTTGGTCAACAGAATCAAACAATAGGAATTCAGTCTTCTTTTCATTGAGTGATAATTTATTAACACTGAGCCATTTAAAGATTGTCATAAGTTCTATTTTCATGTTTATAAATGTGCTTCTGCAGGTTTGATCAAAGAATAGTGCACCATCATCTGCAAATAGAAAGGGCTTAGATAGGTTACAGGCATAAATGATGTCATTTATGAAGATACTAAATAATATAGGCCCAATGATGCTTCCTTGTGGTACACCACTCAGAACTTCTAAAAATGAGCTTAGATTGCCATTGATCCTAGTGCATTGATATCTACAAGATAAGAAGTTCTTAAACCAGGTTAAAGCAATGCCACCAATTCCATAATATGCCAATTTTTGAAGCAATATTTCATGATTCACTGTGTCAAAGGCCTTCTTAAGATCAAGAAAGATGATTCCTGGTTTATAAGACTTAGATTTACTCATATATATTTCGTCCATCAGATCGTACATCAGATAAGTTGTGGAGTGATTTTTCCGAAAGCCATATTGATGCCGGATGAAAAGTTTGTTCTCTTCCATGTAATCAGTGAGTTGCTTATGTTCTATTTATCATGAAAAATGATTGTGCTCGGAGTGATCTGGGCAAAAAATTAGCTCAATCCTCACGGGGCATCGTACACGCGACCTCTCCTTAAGGAGAGCGACGCTCTAACCTTCACGCCACTCGGGTGATATACTGATCAAAATTGTGATGTCTATATAGTGCTTATTTGGCAGAAATTAGTACCGCATACAATCCTCAATTTCGAGTTGGACATGATTGTAATTGGGAAGTGGGAACATTAAACAACTCTTCTGCATTTAATTGGAACTGTCTGTACAGTGAAATACATCGGGTAATTACAAAGATTGTGTACAGTGCATTCGGGGGCTTTGCTTTTGACTGATTTATCTTCCGGACAGTTCTTGGAAGTTCAATTAAAAACAGTGCAGTAGAAGAGTAAACTTGCATGAGAGGTAAAATGGTACTATTATAATTTGTGTTGTCAGGTAAGATTTCAGTTTTCACTTTGATACATTGGTATGTGATTTATATGCTGATTACAGATTACTGATAAAGATTGTTACATCTACAATTCAGAAAAATGTGTACATCAAATGAGAGTCTAACTGTCTTCTCATTTAACCTCTTAACTGACAAGTGACATGTCAGAAACATGAGTCGTCTTATAATGATACAAACACTATATAATATAATTTTCACGTTAAGTAGTGAGTAGTCAGCTTGACCTTGATTGGTTGCAGACAATTGTTAATGTGGATTGTGAATACCGAGTTAATCTTACTTTAAAGTGCATAATCACTAATTAGGTACCTAATCAGATATGATCCTAAATTTGGACTGCAGCCACAAACCAGCTCGATCCTGATTGGCCGATGTATTAACCAATAACAGCGCCCCATTTCAGAGCACAATCCATACTATACACTCACACCGGGCCGACCATTTATGTGGTTCATCGATTAGTTATTAGCATTATTAGAACAAGTTGTTAAAATACATTAAATTCCTTTGACAGATATTAATACAATATTTTCCTTGTCTGTTCATAGTTGCGAGATTGTAACTATACTCGCTGTTGCTGAGACAAAGTCACGCGGCGCGCTCAAAAACTTGCCCTCAAAAATATATGAGGGCAAGTTTTATGGTGGTATTTGTAGGTCGCGAGTCAATTTTACTTTTGAAAACTTTTTGTGAGGTGTTTGAAGCCATCTTAATGTCTAAAGAGATGAAACCTTGACTAGCACCTACCTGAAAGGATTTTATCGATCGGGTTTATCTCAGATTTTCGATATCTCACTTCCTTTTTCCGCAGGTGACCGAAACGTACACGTCATTCTCTCGTAAAGGCGAGTACACTCTCTACTGAAACAAGTGCTGTGCGA